ATGGTTACACTACATATCAACATGAAGTTTCTCATATTTTTCGACATACATTTTTTTCACGGCTACAATTTGCGATATAAATGGCTTGTCACTACTGGCTGTACCATCGTTTTTAAATGAGCGGTCAATCCTTGGAATACCACGAACAAGAAATATGTTAGTGCTGAATACATAACGTATTGCTCAAAAGACACTAACAATTAATTAGATGCCGTCAATTCGTTTCTATGTAAGCAATGTAATAAAATAAAACGAAACGCTCGTCTGCAGCAATTAATAATGCTCCATAAGAGAATCAGATCATGGGCGCATAACAAAAATATTTAATATCGTGTAAACTATCATCGCATTCAATAGCCAATAACTAAGGTATGAAATACCTACAGCTACACTATCAGTAATAACATTGGTCAAGTTGGCAGTATACAGTGTGCCTTTCATGAAATTTGCATTAACCATTACTTACATGACTATTCAGATTCATCTAGAATCCTAAAATGTAAAGAAAAATTATACTTTTTATTTAAAATTAGAATCAAACAGAATACTAATACTCCATCACCGTGATGATATATAATAGTTTGAAATTACAAAGGGATACTGTTCACATAATCCAAGTTATTTTAAACTCAAACTATCAAGTAAAACTAAAAAAAAAACAGACATTAGTTACACTATCTTCTTATCATAAATTTACAAACATATCAATATGCTTTATTGTCTTAGCTCCTACTGATCAATCTCCAAGTTTAGATAAATGACCAATATATTTCCAATGCGTATTTGGTGAAATTACTCGGAATTAATAATCCGTTATCGGAATGTATTATCTGTACGCCCATGTTCGAGGCGGACTGTTCGAATAAAAAGAAGAAGCTGAAAGTTCAAATAAATTATTGAGATGACAGTCCGGCTAGACAAATCAGTCCATAAGATGTAACAATGATTGTACGAGTACACGAATGATTGGACGATGATGTAAAGTTGATAGCCGGTGGGTAAGACGTTATCTTTTCACAACGCCCATCAGCGACATATTTATTTTAGTCGCTAAATTGAAATAATTAAATGAGCTTAATAAAGCTGTACCAAAAAGGAAAAGCGTCGTAAAGATAGATACTTGAGTATTTCTTAATGATTCTCCGTATAGGTACCTACTTTTTATAATTGAGGCGTTTATTTGAGTTTTTCTATCAAATAATGTTAATTTAACCGTGTCTGCTAAGAGCTGGCAATTGTTAATAAAAATATATGATATCGAATAGGTGTAGGTAGCCACATATTTTTTTGAATTAATTACAGAAGTAATACTACCTACCGCATGAAATTTATTTGTTTAGGAAAACGAACAACATCAGCTATAATTGGAGTAAAAGAGATTTTCTCGAGTGAACAAGCACATATAGAAGAACAGTAAACTAATGCAGATTCCGTATTATGCACTGCATAAAAAACGGAATTCTTTGTGTCCTCAACAAGGGTCGCATCTTCCGGGGTGAGTCGATTATCATCACACCTTTCGTAACTTAGAGATTTTTTTACACGTATGATTTATGAAGATAGTACCTTACGAGTCTGGCAAGGGTGAATATTTAACGAACCCTTTTTTCGCTACCGCCGTTTTTCTTAGATAAATCACAAACCCATTTTCGGGTGCATATAAAACGAATATTTCAATTTTTTAATATATTTTATTACCGTAACTGATTACACCAATATTTCATTTTCCTCTATGAAGTGATCAGTACAAAATTGCGTCGTTTAAATTTCGATGTTATTGTATTGCGAGTATCCTAATTATGTGAAGCCAAAAAATTAACTTGTTTGTATTTCGAAAATAACAGATTTTCATTTACAGTTAACACGCTAACGCAATAATTTATTCCGTATATTTAATTAGATCAAAATTGAAAAAATCAGATAACGTTGGAAACGTGTAGGTAAAAGAGAAGTGTAGTAAAAAAAAGGAACCTCAAGTTGCGTCTTTCAATTGACCTAACTTATCGTACGAAATCTGTCTTGACAGTCCCCGACATTCTTGCACTACACAATTACATATTAAACGTGACTCATGAAGAATAACATCGTTAGATTATAAGCGTAAATAATGCGATTCGCGATATTATCGCTCTTTTTAAATTCCATTCATTTAAGTAGCTTTTATGGTCGAAAATTACGAATTTTTACCTCCATAAATTTTTTTCGGCTCCATTTCTCACTTTACAGTCGATTCCAAGTAACTTTACCGTTACGTCATCGCACAAATATGTAATAAAACCAAACGTGGAAATTCCTATTTTGCGCGAGCAAATTTCCTCTATTTCACGCAAAAAAATGCATCCGAAGGTTGGATTAAATTACACTATTTTAAGTGGACTGGTAGATGCACTTGTTGGGTATTTCGAACCATCCCTTTTATTGTTTCAATGCACAAAGGTCCTTTGACGAGGCTCCCCTCGCGTCCAGCTTCATCGCTCTGCAGGTAAGTCTCGTTGAGATTTCTATTCATCACCACTTGTAGCTTGATGTCCTCGGTGCTGCGGAAAATTTCCTCAACTTGCTGGATTAAAACGAGAGCTTTATCTAAAGATTGCGTTTTAAGACGTATTTATTATTACATGAAAATTTCATACTTTATAAGTAACCATTGCAGAATAACTGTAACGGTCTGTTTAGCACAATTTGTCCTATGAATATATTCATTTGTTCGATAAATGCGCTGTATCGCATGGTTATGAACTGAAATAATTGAAATGCACATTCGCGAGCTTGCATTTTAAATTATCCTCTTCTTGTACGCTCTTTTTTACAAATTAAAAAAAAAACTATTTATTAATTTTGTAACGTATTGTAAGAAAACCGTTTGAATGAAACAACGGTGTCCCATATAGGAAAATAGTGGAAGGTAACATCAACATTATATTCGTAATCCAAAAAACCAGTCTTGATATTATTATTTCAAAAAAAAAGGGAACCTGAAGTCGGGTCGGCTAGAATTATGTGAAACTTCCTCGTCAGAAATAGGAATTGAAGTGGGACATAGAAAATGGAAAAAATCCCCCTTTAGGTGAAATAAGACTGGCGTTTTCTTCGAACGGACATCCTAGTTCTCACGAAAACACATAGCATGTGTCACTTGAAAAACTGGAATGTCCAGTCTTGGTCAGTCCGTTAGGGTTGGAGAATCCGAGGTCACGGGTCAACCCTGCTAATGTAAGGGTCATTTTAATGCGTAGAAAAGGGTTATTCCCACGTATGGCCGCTTTGTCCATCGAAGATAAATAGGGTGGCGTATAGGAATGGTCAAGTGAATATCCACAAGGTCCGAAGATGATCATTTTTAATGGTGTCTTTCAAAATGTAAAACTGGTTTCGCGAACACCGGCTTTTTCAATTCACTTTAGGGATAATAATTTTTTAAATCGTGCGTCATTCTTTACTGTCCGGAGTTTTACGTTAAGAACGATATCCACGCTCGGAAATTTAACGAAAACTTTTTTCAAGTGGGCATTTAAAGCTTTGTATTGAAAGATAGTAGGTAGATAGGTACTTTTCATACGTTGGATAAGGTTCCATTTATCTATATCTATACGCGTATAACAATAGGATTTGTATTTGGAAAATTAAAATAACAGTTGGTAGATTTTATTTCATTGTTACAATTAAAAGACAATTTTAGAGTTCCAACGATTTTTATTTCTTAAGTTAAATCAAAAAACTATTTAACTATGATATTTTACATAGATTCAATATTATCCAATTTGCTTAGTAATAATTATTACATACATTATTTTAATTTTAAACAAAGCTCCTTTTTATAAATAAAAATTTTCTTCTATTAGGTCCAGTTAAGACATAATATTTTTTATTCCATTAGATTACACATTCATCCAAGCACATTCTTATTACATATTATGTCTTCAAATGTATTTATTCCTTTTTGGATCTTATATTTATAAAATTTAAATGAATGAGGGTTAATAGGTATGCAACACTCTTGACAATCCATCCACTTGTGGCACCCTCTATCGGAACAGACAGAAAGCTCTAGAAGGCATGAAACCAAGAAATTACACAAAACATCTTTTATCGAAACTACTAGCGTCATCTAGCGCCAGAACCATTGGGTTCTCTGTACTAAAAAAATACCAATTACTAAGGGAAAAATTAGATATAAAAAAAATGTTGAAACTTTATAAAATCAAGAAATTGTTAATTCCAGAAATCTCAATTAATTCTTCTCGATTTCAACACTCGATGGAACCAAATTGAATCGAACCTGCACTGATTTGGTTCAACCCTCGGGATTTCTCTTGTTACCTCTTCCATTTTCAAACACCTAGAAGAGTCCGGTGGTGCGATTTTTACCTGAATTCCGATTATTCGGAACCACTTGTTCGGGCCGGCACGAAAAGGTGCACATCACCTGTGGATGCTGGGAATACTCATGCGCAAAATTGCTTCTCTTTCACAAGGTTCGTTGTCATCTACTCGACCAACGTCGCCTACCAGTGTTGTTCGATCGACGGAAATATTCATATTTTTACGATGATTTTCAATATTTGGTTCAATCTGTAGCATTTGAATTCTTTGCCAGTCGCAATTCTGTATAAAAAATGGGAGAGTATGAAAGTATGAATGAGCAACAAAGTAAATTATTAAATAATTATGTATTTTTGATTAAATATGGATTAATTTGTGTAAATTTTCTTATTGTATCCCTTCAGGATTGGGAGGCTCCCAAAGAACCTCTACATAGACTAGTAGAATTAAATTTGATGCAAGCTCAAAAGTACCAATGGTATGGATAGTATTGTTGCAAGATAGAAAGATGTATTTTGAGTCTTCCCCAATAAACATTAAGACTGGAATTAATATCTGTCTAATGTTCTCGAGTCATCATCAGCAGAAACGACGTGAAATAAGAGAAGTGCACGATATTCCAAGGCTCGACGATGGCAACGCTGCCTTCAACATAGTCTTGTTTGGTTTACATTTACAAACCGTCGAGTTAAGTGTCTAATAGTTCCGACACACTTGACACTTTTAACGCACGTTCGACTCGATGAAATGTAAATTTTTCAGTGGTTTTCAATGAAACGCGAATTCGGGCATTGTTAAACACCGGTAGTTGTTCCGGAGGCGACGCGAATTCGGCTCCCATCGCGAGTTTCTCTCGATTTCGGCGGTAATTTTTTTAGTTTTTTTTTGAGTTTCTTGGATTGTGCTTTTTGGGATTTCGGTAGGCGTTTTTTTTTGAATATGCATGGATTTGTTGGGGTTTGGTTTGTAAATCGCATGTTGGTTTGAATTCGAACTGTTTACTATTTTTAGCGATGACTGAAAGTGAAACATATTATTTATTACCTATGTTTGCTATTTTCCTATTTATTAGTGCATTTTACGAGCGTTTACAACTAATAGGTGTGAGTAGAGGTTGGAGAGTTTTTGAAAAAGTTGCCAAAAATTAAATTTTTCTAACCGAATGAATGTTTAGGAACACCTGTTGATTACGTTAGTTCCAAAATTATGTAGAAGATGCGGAATACAATACACAGGTGCAAGGTTGCTTTAATTTTTCCGAACTGATTTTAAATAGTTTTCTGATAAAAATAGTTTGTTTTTAATTTAATCGCATGTAGGTATATTTACTATGGCATTGCAAAAATTATCCATACACCTCTTTTAAGAACTTCTTAAACCCACTCAAAACGAATTCCCTCTAGATGACGTCAAATTGAATGCATTATTTGTTTATAGCAGATGTATGATTAATTTTCAACATTCCATAGTTAAATGATTTAAATCACGCAATTTTTTTGTTATTTACTGCATTTGTTGTAATTAATTTCTACAACAAATACCACGCTTTTTGTCGTACACATAATTAAATGTAATCTCACTACTGCTTATCAAACACACTAATATTACATTTTATTGTCTTGAATCCGTATATTATTTCCAGTAATTGAATAATTAACCTCCTTATTAAACGAAAACATAACTTTATTTCAGTCGAAAGTTTAAACATGGGATGAAAGCAATTAAAGTAATTATAATATTTTAGTATTGTTCGAGTGTAATAAACCGACTAATTCAGCAATTAATCGCACTATCGAAAAGGGTGTTTCCACAGTTTATTTATGTATTGATTTTAGCTAATGAAAATAGACATTGAGCAAAGATGAGATACACCTATCATTAGGTAATAGTTTTATTTCTATTCCACTGTGGATTTCGCTTTCTAATTTTAGCAACACCTAAGCCCATCTTAAATAATATTGTGGAGTCGTGTTTGGTTTGCGGATTTTTATCTAACGTGAAAGTCTTGGAAAATTTAGTTTAATTAGGTAATTAATTAGGATTAGAGGTATGTGTGTGATTAAAATAAATTTACATGCATGGAAACGTAGGATAATGGGTTGAAAGGGGGTAGGCGATTGGATGAATCCGTTGCACTTCGAGTTGTTTACAAGTGAGTAAAGGAGATTTTAAATGAATCTTACTTAATTTTAGATGTACAACAGGAAAATAAATAAAGAAAAAACTGCCATTCATTAGCGTTATAAATAGCAACTTGGGTTAACGACTTTCGAACGGTACAAAAGTTGTATTTTTCTACAATTACTTTTCTTAAAACGTAAATAATAAGTTACGAGAATATGAGGGTTGATTTTTTTTCTGTCAGAAAGTTCTGTTTTCGGGCCTCAGCTGTTGTTTTTTCGACAAACCGTGAAAGCTTCAAATAGAACGTCATGAGCGTATTTACTCATGTATTAAATTAAAGTAGATTATAAGCATAAATTAAAACTCTGTCTGCAGTTCCATCAACGGCTCATCAACATTTTATTTTTATTTTATTCTTGATAAATCGATTTTTACTATTGGTGGTTTACCGTATAATTCCAATCTTAACTTGGAGAATAAATTTTGATTAGCTAATGTGGCCCACATGCGATATTGGAACATTAAACAGTACACAGTACCCTTATCTTATCATCTATCCAGTTGTATTTTAATATCACTCGAATCTTGCTGAGCAAAATAAACCTAACATCATTATCTGTTGCCCTGCACTAGATAGCTGTATAATTTCGTACGCTAAAAATAATGTTTTCTTCGTTGCAGTGTTAACAAATCCTGTTCAAATGCAGCTTAGCATGTCCTATAGGACTTGCAGCCCATCGATAACAGAAACTAGCGAAAATGGTGAGTACACATAATTCACGTTTTATTAAGTCTGCTCAAGCAACTCTTATCTCATCAATTGCAAATATTTACTATTTGAATTTTTTGATAAATATCTACTTAATTTCAATTGTAAACAAAAGATGCCTGGCATTTTTTGACTTTCAAAATTGAAACGTGCATGAATAAAAGCGAAAGTACTTGCCTTATTTTATTTGTAAATGAAATTATTACGATTGTCTATAAAGGGGTCAAACCCACATGTAAATATTGTCAACTTTCACTGTAGGATGTATGAATGATTTGCTGCAAGCATTACCAAAAATTTATAAAATCATTGTATTGTCTCTATAGGTAGTTTATATTTAGCTCATGTCTACATCCTGCTCTAACGATGCGAATATTCTAAATGGAAATTACCTCTTTCCATAAATGATAAACACAAATTTTAAGTAACATTTTTTCTTTAATTTGGATCTGCAATGAAAATACTAATGGCTAATCAACTGCTAATACTACAGTCTGTCAGCAGGTCGATTATTTTATTTATTTTGATCGCGGCACGCAGCAGATTTGTTTACCAGTTCCATAAACATTCTTTCAACGAGGTAACATCGTTAAGTGCGATAATAATTAGAATGTTCGAGTTTCTTCTGGTGCTGCGAAAAATCCAGGGAAACTTTAGGAAAATTTTGTTTCAGGCTACTCTTGGTACGAATGCAACTGTTGTCCATATGGCTATCACATCGACCTGGATTTCGTCCGCTATTGCGAATCGATCAGCAAGGAAACGGATAATCGAACGGGCTCGATACAAAGAAGAAGAGACAGAAGGAGGCAAAGGCAATCGATGGAGGTTCTTTTGGGTCTTATTCCCCCCGTAATACCGCCAGCGGAGGAAACTTACAAAGTAAGTCGGATAATCGAGATAATTCGTAAGACCCTCATCTTTTTCGGAAAAAATTCCCATCGTATTCGTATTGATAAATATGCTGGTAGACTAATTAAATCGATATGTTTTTATCGCTAAACAACGGGTTTTTAATGAAGAACGTCTAGAATGTTTCTTTCCATTTTGCTGGTGTTGATATTCTGTCGGCAAATTTAATTCATATTAGTTTCTGTTAATTACTATACCTAATTAAAATTCCCATTGGATTTAGGTATAAGAAAGATGAAGCAGAAAACGGTATGTTTGATATTTATTCATTATCTAATATAGAGGAGTAATTTAATACAATTTTATTAGAAACATGAAACTATTTACAAGAAATAAAGAGATCTAAAAATTCAATATATTACAAATAATATATCTTAGTTTAAGGTTAGCGAGAATCCAACAAATAAGTTTTACAAATATTAACTAAACGGTGTTTAAAGTTTTGTTGTTTATTTAAAACAATTTCAAGGTTTGTACCATAGAAACTATTTTCTTTATCTTCAATAGTAAAATTGAATTACACTGCTCGAACGACAAGCATCGAATTATTTTTCATGTTACACGGTGAGATTTTCGCGTTGTTGCAGACGATAGAAGAGCAAAAAGACCAGTCTCCGAATCCATCGAAAACGAAGGCGACGAAGTTTCCGTTTTTAGCTGATGAGTTTGATGATGCCGTATCCGATTTTGAGAGAACACTTCAAAGATCTAAAAACAAATTGTCCAATAACCTGCCAGATGTTACCGCCGTCTCAGGTTAGTAAATCATCACTTTTTGTCCTCAAGAATACCTACGAGTTTATGACCTTTCCGCTCGTATACGGGGGCATCTCGGAAGTTCGATTTCTTATAGCGAGAAAATCCGTCTCTGCATACTAAATTAATTAACGTTTCGAAATGTAAATGCATGAAAGTCTAATGGCTGCAACGAAATGAATAACAATCTAAATTCCTCCTCAGGACAATTATATTAATAACAATGAAAACAATATGCACATTAGTCAACAACGGAGCTGGTAATAGGTGTATCAACTGCTTAAAAAAATGAGGAAAACATACTGAAATAGTTCAAGGCATTTTTTGCGGAATTCTCATCTGCGGAGTAAATTATTTAAATAGCGACTACAGTTAGAAGTATTTAAAAAAAATGTTAAGAATAATTGGGACATGTGCATTCCCGTTCGAACGCCTCTGTTCGTGTTCACCGGAGCCAAACAGTTGCTCATTACACCATAAAAAGCGCATGCGCGCCTTACGATTGTTGCTAATGCAATACGCTTTCCTGTGCTTAAAACAAGAGGTTTACCCATCGAGCAGGTGTATTCGGAAATAAAAAAAATAATGGAAAAAGTAAACAGAGTGCGTTTATTGAGTGCCGTTCTATGGATGTGGTTCTGGTTAATTAGAATACTAATATACCTGATAGATAAGATTATTGTTATTGATAACGAGCAAATTGATTACAAGCGTAATTCGGAGATCGATCAGAAGTTCAGCTGTTTCTCATTATTATGTACAGAAAATTCTCGGAGGTTCCCTTTGACTTCCGGTGCTACCTCGACGAGCGAGGCACCCAAACGACTGGGTTTCGACGGCGCCGCCTTTGAATTGTCGAGTATGAGCCCTATGGCCCTGCAAAACGTCAGGAAACAAATGGCCCTCGGCCTCGAAAGGACCAAGTTGTTGGAAGATCAGGTGAAAATGGTGCCAGAACTCAAGGTAATTTATTGCTGTTAATTCTTTTTTAATCGTTTAGTCGACAGTCGATTGATAAAATATAACTTATTGTTTTTATTGTTTAGTATACCGAGTGATTAAGTAATACAATAACGATATAGTATTATCACAACGGATTGTTTACGAAATTTATGTGGTTTTGTACTTGTAGAAAGGCTAGTTTAAATGTTAATCAAAGGTCTTCAATAGAATATTGTGTGGATTTACGTGATCGGAATATACATAAAAATGTCATTATTTCATAATTTTAGTTACACTAGGTGATGTCAAAAACTTTGATACATTCGGGTATTTCTCTCTGTTTTATAAATATCTTATCAAAATTATCACATTTGAAATTGTTTATAAAATCTTGACTGTGAGTGCAGTAGGTAAATTCCTTCGTAAATGGTGTGCAATTGATTAAACCCTTAGCTATAATCTACCTAATAACGGTTTTATAGACCTTGTTGGCTTGCCAGTGAATCATTTTACGTGGATTATTAATCAGAAAACGGGTGAATTTATCGTTCAATAACAGAAGGCTTGCTGTGCGGGTTCCATTTTATTGTGGTGAATATTGTTGTTTATTTCAGTAAATACGTAAGTTTTTTTTAATTACTTATCAAAAAAAAACCTATGTTTACTAATTGAACATGAATTAGTAAAAAAATTATTGATTCACACTATATACGACAAATAGATAATAATATAAACAATTAAAGTTTATAAGTAAAGATTGATAAGAAATTCCAATCGAATGTGCAAATATACAACAACAAAATCATCTATTCACCTAGTTTCCACGCGTATTTGTACGAACTGCCTGTCTTTTAGGAACAAGTGAAATTCCTAGAGGAAGAAAACCGCCGGTTGCTCAACCGGTTGCAAAACGAGCAGAAAAACAAAGAGAACCTGACGAATGGAAACTACATCGAACCGCAACACCGGCAACGGTCGCTCTCCTTCACAACATTGAACAACGCCAATGCACACATGAAAAAGGAATCGTCGCCGCCGCCGCCGCCGCCGCCCAGGAAGGACTTCGGCGTGATGTGCAGCGTGCTGACCAGGAACGTCGGCGTGGGCCACCAGACTCCGCACACGAAGAACGCCTCGATCGGCACCGAGTTCTCCGACAAGTGGCTCCACGAGAAGCTGAAGTTCCTGAACGACGTCCAGAAGGCGACCGCTTCGAAGAACACCCAGACGGCGTTCCAGAAGCACCGAGACGTCGGCGTTCAATTCAAGCACGACAAACCGGCCGTTTCCAAATTCAACGCACACGTGCAGACCGAGCCGAAAACTTTGATCGACAAGGGTGTTTCGGTGAAAAGCAAACTGGCGGATTTCGCTGTACAAAAGTGCGTGGAATGTTCGTCGGTAGGTTGTTCCGATGATACCGTTAACGACGTCGTTTGCGACAAATGCAACGCGATCAAAGCATCCGTGGCGGTCGGTCCGGATTCCAACCAAGACAGCCACACGTCTCCGATATCTCTAGCTTCTTTGACGTCGAGAAGTAAGTCGTTTAATATGGGAGAAGACAGGCTCAATTTCAGCACCAGGACTCGAACGGTAGCATCGCAGTACGAACCAAACAACATCAATCGTGCTTCTCAAGTAAAGTTCTCATCTTTTAATCATTCCACTATTGCTAGAGCAGTCTTATTCGGATTTTCAGGTGGAGATTCGAAAGCCATCTTCGACGAAAGCGTGCCAGTTCGAACCGAAGAAGACCGACAAATGCACCCAATACGAGAAACACACGATTTCCAGGCACACCGACACCCAGGAGTTGATCGTGGTCAAGAAACACGTCGGCTGCGAGGCGAGGGAGAAAACGACGGAAGTCGTCGATAGAGGATGCGACGCTGCAACCGAGGCTGTAATTTGTGCGAAATGCGAAAAAGAACGCGAAGTTTGGAAGAAAGACGGGGGCAGCCCGACGCCTTCTAGAATACCTAGACTGCAATTACCTACCAACAATGTGGAAACTAGGAAATTGAAGAGGCAAGACACTTACACGAAAGTGTATACACCTATATCAGAGAAACTGCCTACAACTCAAGCAAAGTAAGTCGGTTTTTATTACTAATTTGTCATCGCGATTCTTGCTAGTTCGTTGTGGAATAAGTCCTAGTAATAAGGCTAGTAAGTTGTCCTGCGTCTAATGACTGGATAAGTCTGCGTGACTGAAATCAATTATTTCGATGACGACGGATCGAGCAGGCGCGTGGAGTTCCCTTCGCAAATAAGGGACGGGGTCAGTCGAGGTGCATCGCCCGGGACCCTAACGTATCGCACTCGATGTTAGACTGCTCGCACCGCAGAATGTAGTTTTTTCTTTTCGCAACGTTTTGATTTCCCGCAAATCGCTCGATTTTCGCTTCCGCCGAATTATGAGTAAAGCTTTTGAATCTATTTAGAGGTGCTTGAACCGTACGAGTTGCGTAGTGGGCTCCCTTATCGTTTGTTTTGGTATGAATTGAACATTTTTAAACGCTTTTTAATGTTAACGTCTATGGAAAGAAATCAAAATGCGAATTGCTCTTACATGCATCAACATATTTTGCTAACAAGGTGAGAAAGTTAGACGAATAGGCGCATGTAAAATTATTCATTGAATGTGTCTTACCTGTTCGTTTTTATTTTATTTTTTTTAGATTGTCTGGTTTAGATTTACCATCTAAAGTCATATCAAACGATGCAGATCCGCTCGATAACGTGAAAAGCAATTTAAAATTAGACGAAACGAACGTTCACGCTCAAAACGGTGTCGCCTCAACACCTCCAATCACTAAGGTCCAAGTGCACGAGATCACGTTGCCCATATCAGAATCGACAATATTTCAACCCAACGCCGATCAAAACAGGAAAAAGTGAGCTCTCTACTACTACTAAATATAACTATTACAACATGTTTTTGTAGAGTTGTGCCCAGTAAAGAAATGCAGGGCGCGATGAAAGTGCTCAACGATTCCCTAATGAAGAACCCTTCGAAGAAGATGGTGAACCACAGCGCGATAAACATCGTCCAAACCGAGTGGTTTAAAATATCCAGCCAAATAACGGCCAATCCGCTGGACGTCGAGGACTACTTGGACGCCCTGGAGGACATGTCCAGCTTGCTGCTGGAGTACGTGGTGAACATGAGCGACTCCAGCGGCAACACGGCGATGCATTACGCCGTCTCGCACGGCAACTTCGACGTCGTGTCCATTCTGTTAGATTCCAAAGTATGTGATATAAACAAACCGAACAAGGCCGGGTACACCAGCGTCATGCTCGTCTCTCTGGCCGAAGTGCGATCACAAACGCACGCGAACGTCGTCAGAAGGTTGTTCCAACTGGCCGACGTTAACATAAGGGCGAAACAGGTAATGCAGTTGATTAGTTTAAACATTGTGTGGCTCAATGGAGGAAATTTCGATCTTTCAGCATGGCCAGACAGCGTTGATGTTGGCTGTGAGTCATGGACGATTGGATATGGTGAAAATGCTGCTCGAAGCTGGAGCAGACATTAATATTCAAGACGAGGACGGTAGCACAGCTTTAATGTGTGCAGCTGAGCACGGCCATATTGAAATTGTGAAACATTTCTTGAGCCAACCGGACTGCGACTCGACTATTACTGATGTGGTAAGAACGTTTATCCTTCATTTCAAGAAATAGCGGATATTTAACAATATGGTTTTGTTATTTAGGATGGTAGTACAGCTTTGAAAATTGCCATGGAGGCCGGTCATCGACATATCGGGGTGCCGTTGTATGCCCACGAAAGAAACATGCAAAAGCACAACCCAAAATTGAAGAAAAAATCCATCGGTAGCCCCAAAACCCCATCCTCACCTTTGGCTGTGAGAAGCGGCCATCGTGCCTTAATGGACCTAAAATCCAAGTAGAAGTGTTGAAGGAACTGGAAACGATAGATACCCCCATCGACGAAAATCGACGTCTGCGCGATGATCGCTGTATTCCGTGTACTTCGTAATTGTTGTAGGTGAGATTCCAAAAGCCATTGCAAAGTCGAAAATAACGTTTCTTTTTGAATGGCGAAAAGGATTTTCGAAATAACGTTTACTCAAAAATAAGTTACGAATTGTAATACGAATTTTTACGTTTATACCAAAACAACCCCTACCTAAAACCATTTTTTATGAACTGTAATTAGGTATATTACGATTTTAAATATTTTAAAATTTGTTAATCTGATTTTATATATTATGTATATTATTAATATAATTTTATTTGTATATTATCAATTTGGATTTGGAATAAATACTGTAAATTTATTCAAACCTTCTTTAGCAAAAATTCTCCGTAACTCTCGATTTTTTTAATTAACATTTCTAATAAAATTATTAAAAACCCATGCCAATAATTTAAAGTTATATATTTTGTTAACTATTAAACAACTTTTTAATTCGGAGTTATCCACTCCAAATCTTGGTAATTAAAGCCGATATTTAACGTTCCTCAAAATACGTGTAAAAATGGATAAGTCGATTATAAAACGGTAAATGAATGTAACATAATTAAAGATAGTGGATATACAAAATCGAATTCTGGAATGGTTTCATTTGCACCTGTAAGTATAAAATATATTTACTAAATGAAATCTAATATGTTAATAGATGGAGACTATTATTGAACATCAACAAAAAACAGAACTTAATCATATAAAGGAGGATAATCGGTTTATACGATTAAGTAAATTCTCCAACCAATGCCTCACATGTTCAGCAACTACGCTTTTTTATGTGGTAAATGTTTCAAAAATATTTTTTTTTAATTTCGCTGCAATGGATCAGAATGGTTTGATATTAGGGTGAGCCATTCCCACATGTGTGGACATTTACATTGTACGAATTGTGGAATGGGTTTAATTAACAACACACCATGTCTGTATTAATTTGCACAAAATATTGACATTCCTGTTGTAGCATTATCACCTGTTCCATAACTCTATAAACGTATCTGACGTATCTCTAACACATTGTCTTCCCTATGACTATTCCAGAACCGATTTTGTATATCTACTAAAGATGAAATTATTAAAAAAAACAATTAATTAATAGTTACAGCACCGAGAAGGGGCAATTCCTCGCGTTTCCTCCGCCTCTTGCACTTCGGACACGGTTTAGAAGAATTCAAACACAATTTGTGGTAAACGCCACTGCATTCGTCACAACGATAAACGATATCAGTTTCAAACGGAAACAGGGGCTTCGGTTTGTTGCACACTTCGCAAACGAACCCCTTTTGGCTGCACAACCAACAGCTGTAGACGTGCTGCTTTCCAAACGCGATCACTTTCTCCAATTGTTGAGCCAGCAGTCCATTCATCACATCCGAAAGATCCTGAAATCAAGGACATTAGTTGTAAACATGTACATAAAATAGTGAGTTGATGAGCAAGATACCAACCAAAATTGAATATTGATGAATATGTTCGTACATATATTCCCTAGGCCACATTTGCTTCTGAAGTTCTTCTATAACGGGCTCCCGGCAAGTGAATAAATACGCTCTTATGAAATTAAGTTGGTTTCTCAATATTTGCAGCTGAGCCATTTCTTCGATTACTCCATAAATATGGGGATTGTAAACCTAAAAACCAGCAAAGTTGTTTGTTTCTATATAAAATTTAAAAAAAATAATTGCATACCTTGAAGTCAATTATGGGATGGTCTTTAACTTCGTTGAGGTAATTAATTCCTCTACGAGAAATTTGATGTGGTTTGAAATCCCAGTTATGAATAATCCTAGCGGGAATTTGAACTGGCTCCGGATTCATACAATTATCACAAAAATAATCACCAGTGAAGGCACACACTCTAGCAAAATAAAAATGTAATTACTATAATATAATAATATTAGTAAACGATGTACTAACTTTGGTTTATTATCTATTCCTAATGGTTGTTTGCATTCCGCGCATTCGTAATTTTGGGCATCTAAACCCTTTTCTCTCGAGATTTTGCCAATCTTCATCGCCAAGCTAGCTTCAATTTTGGGCGACCCGGCCACTATAACAACGGATTTCTCCTGATCAACCTAAACGAAATTATTATTACAAAACACATCCACGAAACCACCACACCGTTCTTACTTTAACAACCTCAGTCTCCTTCCTTTCGTCCTCGAACTTCTGCCACACCTCCCTTATGTCGGGCGTTTTAATAAAAGACCCGCTAAGCAAATTGTAACTTTCAATCAGAGCATTGAAACTGGTATCCATCGATTTCGGCTCGTTGTCGTTCTCTTTAACCGCCTTTTTATCGCCCGCCGGCGCTTCGCCGGCCTGGCTCTCGTCGAACGACCAGCCGGTCCGCTTGCCCAGCGAGTTCCCCACGCAGTAGTTCGCCTCGAAGTCGCTGCTTCTCTCCGGCTCCGAGCCGCACGACGACTTCGCCTCGTCGATCGGCTGCGAATTGGCCGGCGCCCTGTCTTTGTCCTTGGCCAGGATTATCTTCAACACCTCGTCCTCCGTCAGCGCGACGATCTGGCGCAGCCCCGACGACTGCGAGTTGAACGACAAGCCCGAGCATACGGAGGCCGTGTCGGAGCTGTTCTCGAAATTCGAGGACTTCGTCGATTCGGTGATGGCTTGGGCGACGTCGTCGCAGGGCGCGACCGGGCAGGATTTCAACGTGGGCGCCCAAATGCCGGCTAGTATCAGGCTCGGTAGAGGCCACGTGTTCAACAGGCTCGAATTGAACGGGAGTGTGAAGGTTTTGAAGGCTTCGACGCCTTCGATCAGCCGTTGGGCCACGTCTAATAGCTCACCGTCTCTGATGAAAGCGTTCACCCTGTAGTAGGATTTTAACGACGAGGAGTCTTGCTTAATTGTCATTAGATATGAGGAAAGAAGGCAATCGTTTAAAGCTAATCGTATCCACGCTCTGCATTGTCCTACTTCTGTTGTTATTTGCGATAAATTCGTTATCTAAAAAAAATGCATGATTCATTATAATACATTGAATACAAACAGTGAATAAATATTGATAAATGAAATAATCAATACATGACTTATAATAAAAAAAAGCGTGGAATTGTGTTTACAATTAAAATAGCTATAAATTCGAATATCAAAATCTTACTTGATCGATGATTTGCCTGTGGGAAATGACTAGCAAAGGCGGCCAAAAACTCGGGTCGGGTTGTTCGTCGAAATCGGACAAGGCCTTTTTGAACTTGTGAGTTAGCGTGTCCCTTAAACCGTGCAGGAAAAGGGCCTCGATCGTCGAGCAGAGCGTGTTTGCAGCTTCGGTAATGGATATTTCGGAGCTTCTCGGCGATTTGTTTTCTTCGACGTTAGAGTAGTGAATTTCCTTGCAACTGTCCGACAACTGGTTAATGATCGACTTCTTAAGAATTTCGTCTTTGTTATTTGTCACGGAACGAACACTTTTTAATAATCTATTCATTGTTTAAACGTTGATCGATTCTCGACGGGTATTTATCGACTAAATTATATTTAATTAAAGTGTTAACTATTTCACGACAGGCTACTCCTTCTCTTACAATATGAAAAGTCCCAATTTCTGACAAATCTACAACAGTAGATGCACTATTATTAGGTTTCAATTTACCAGCGTCGAATATAATTGGTAACTGGTGCCAAATGCTACTAAACCCTACAACTTCGACGACACTAGGTTCGTTAGTTAAATTAGCACTACTTAAAGCTAAAGGTTTACCCAAGCCCAACGATAAATTTCTTATGAACTTATAATCCGGAATTCTTATACCGATTTTGCCATTCAAATACAAAGAGCTATCTAGCATATTATTAGTGCATGATAGAATTAGTGTTACTGGTCCTGGAAGTAATGATTGTAAAAGGTTTGCTGGAAGATGATCGATATGCGCCCAGTTTTTCACATCGCTTACTTCACTCAAACAAATTGCCAATGGTTTGTTCTCATTTCTGCATTTGATACTGTACAAGTTGTTTATAGCCGCTTTATTCGTAGCGTCGCAAGCTAAACCGTAAACAGTGTCTGTCGGTACGGCCACGACCGATCCGGATTTTAAATATTTAATGCCTGTCGATTCTGCTGTTGGGCTAGTGGCAGAAATAAAAGCAGCCATAGAAGAGAAAACCCGCTTAAACAATATACTTCGGCTACCTTCGAGAATGTGTAAAGTTCTTTTGTAAAGCATCTGATCAGTCGCGCCAGTTGTGGTTACAATCTGGGTTACAACAGCGGTAGAACGTGGTCATAGGCTCGTCGGCAGATCTGGTTTGCAATTGCATAAAGTAGGCTCGATCGTGGCTGCACGCAGGACACCTTTCTTCGGTCGAATCCACGTTTTTCCAAGCTTCTTCCCCGCCTAACACATCATCTATTTCCTGCAAAATATTATTTCGTTGCAATAATTTCAGATGGAACGTTACACGAATATAAATACCTTGAGCTTGTAAAAATTCCTGAACAGTATTAACTTTTTTACAGGAAAAAACACTGGACAAACATTGCACGTGAATTGCAATTTTCCTTGTAAATTTTCTTCAACGAATAACAAATTATGGCAAAACGGACAAAATGCTACCATATTCCTAGCAACAAAATTTTTCTAGAATAAACTGTACACCATGCAGTTTTATTATTTATTATTTTCAATTTTGATAATAGTCAAAAAAATAAAAATCACATCACACTCAATCAATTGTCACGTGTCAATGTCAATTGACAATATGCACAGAACGTAACATTTAGAAATGCACAGTACTGCCAACGTAACGTATAACTATCAAACCGTAGGCAACACAAATTACACAACGTTCTCTCAGCGCCATCTATACATTAATAGAAATTTTACAAAGCGTTTATAATGGAACATCATAGATGGTGCTGTAAATCAAGTTTTCGTAAAATTTGTTGGAATGAATTTGCGTTTCGAACAATCCGAGGGTTCTCAAATTTTGTATCAGGAAAGCAGATAATCGAAGAGGTGGATTTGAAGAAACGAGGGAATAAAAATTAATGGGTTTACCTTTCTTTAAAATGTAACGTGCGTCAAGATGGCATGTTGATTCTGGCAATAAAAAAATATCGTGAATTTGTTGCTACATAATTAGTTGCTAAATTTTATATTTTATTTGTTGCTATTTTTATTATTTTATTCCTCCGAAAAAAAATGTTGCAATTAGTTGAAACATCTTAAATTTAATTTGTTGCTAAATTTTTAATTTTATTTCTCAAAAAAAATAACATTTGTCAGTTATGGAAGGTAATTATTTAGTTATTTAAACTTTTTTAATTCGTGATTTTGTTGCTCAATTACTGATGGCAACTTTATAAACATTGAATTAAACTAAATTGAATTAAAGAAAGTATAAAAAAGTCCATCTAACGTATATCATGAAAACAAGGAATATTGTAAATAATTTAGAGTAAGTCGTTAGATTATTCAAGTACATAAATTCACCGAAAAAGCGCAAAAAGACCGCTAAATTCTGACCCTAATTCTAACTCCCTATGTACCGTTATTATTACGATTTTTTTTCCTAATAACGTACCACGTAAAAATGCAAAGTCTCAACCGAAATTAGAAAAAAAAAGGGTCTTACCTAACGAAAACAATAAAATCTGAAAGAGAAGAGAAGAGAAGAGAGGGGTAGCGACTACTTCGGACGAAACGAGAGCGTAAGGATACCGAAAGGATAAGGATAAAGTCCGGTCCGGTGGCGCGGCATCCTGAAAGCCCTTCGGTACGCCAGGAGCTTCCGCGAGTAGAGGGGATGGCAGCGCGCGTAAGTGGGGAGCAAAACAAAATAAAATCGCCTTTTCGCTGCAGTTCAAGTTTCAACTAAACTGTCCGTCGGTTTTGTAGTGCAAATATCGGTCGAAAAACACGAGACAATTTCCCCATTACCTAATGTTGCGTTGTCGGGACTACTAGGATGGAAGGACTGTCCGGCAACGAGGAGAACTCCAACGTTCCCGCGCCTAGTTCTAGTAGTTCAAATGTTTCTGTGATGCTAGGGAACTGTGCTAGTGCTAGACAATCGACCAAAGTGTGCGCTACCCCCTCGCAAGTTGGCCAAAGGAATTCCATTTCGCCGAACGTTTTCAGAAAAGTTATGAGCAAAAATAACAATAACACAAGTTAGTCCTTTTTTTTTCTTACATCAAATATTACCAAATTTTATTTATAAAATTAGTTTTTTCAAAAACTACAAAACATATACAACATTCATTAGTAGAATTCTACTTAGTCGCAATCCCTCTAGGTCGTAACTTTTTTTTTCGAAGGAAAATTTTTAAGGACCTCCTAAAAGAAAAGTCGACCTAATTAGCCGGTATATTTAATCTTATTGAGCAATATTGATGGCTTATTGGACAAATCAATAAGACTTGTATTCCAAAGGACGATGAAATGTGGGAACGTTGCAGATGGTGAAAAAAAAAACACTGCGTATTCTACCAACAACTTACGGTATTAGTTTTTGTCTTAACGATAGTCGTCAATATTTAATTGCGGTATTGTCTTTTGTAATAACTATAGGTTCTGTAAGCTTAATGAGGGTCGCAAATGATAAAAAACTGTAGGTATATTATCAAAAAAAAGCATATTAAAAATCGAGCGTGCTGCAGGAAGCGCACACAAAATAATCTACCTGAATATAATATTTATATTGTGAGGCTCCATTCAATAAAAGTTCAAGGGTTGCAGGAATTATGATATATTATGCCGGAACAAAAATGTTTTGTACGAATCATATTCCAGATCGAGTTGTAAAATAGATTTAAATAATACATTAACTGGAAAGTTGGAAAGTTTCTATCGATTGTCGAGTAAATACAATTTTCATTAAAATCGACACATATATCATTATTTTACATTGACAGTATTGTGCGATTTAAAAAAAAATGAATGAAACATTCACAGTTAATGCGTTACCGAAAAATGCCGAATAAATTTGTGTTCGAGATGAAAATACAAACCAGTATGCTTCGATAAGATACGAATAATGAATGAATGATTAGTTTACTTTAGATAATTCGTGTAATGTCTTTAATGTAAAAAATGTTTTTTTATGCGCCATTACACACTCATTTATTCCGCACGATTTATTATTGCTATTTAATGGACACCTATCATAATCAGAACACCGATCAAATCTGATGTCACAAACAACTAAATGAGTGAAAATGACTAAGAAATAAATGAAATTAACGTGAGAACTATACAGGGTGTCCTAAATAAACTTTCGAACGAAACGCTCATTTTAAATCGGATTGATTTAAGCGCACATCCAAAAGCTGGAGCTTTAGTTTTGTTGTGTGACCACCCTGTATATAGAAACCTGCAGTTCATCGAAAACTGCGGATGACAGATTTAATATTATTTTTAGTTTACTTCGCGGTATCACGTTGTTAATTAACAGTAATCAATGTTACCGCGTAAGAAAAATCGTCAATGTCAGTAACTTATGTTTGGATAAAAAATGGTTATACAATTTTCTTAGGGAAATAAATGACGTCAATTTCTACCAGTTGATGAAATAAACCAGTCAAATATCACTGCATGGAAATACAGGAAGATAATTTTATTTATACCCGGTATTTAGTCAGGTGAATAAAAATTCCCGGGTAAATTGTTAATTCGGGATGAAAAAATAATGAACAACAGCAACAGGGAGAATTTAAGTATGCATTCGAATTAGCACTGGAGATAAATTAAAAAAAAATCGTATCGAGTGTATCACACAAAATTTTGAATGCAACCTCTTTTTACATTATCTACTTCCTGTTTATCGCTCTCGCGTTCGGTGCGTTTTCCATGCACATTTCCTAGTGCATAAACTTTTTCTTTTCGAATCAATTTTTGAGGAAAATTAGTTTCGTTCAAACCCGCAACACCTGATTCCGCCTAGTTTGGAATCCTAACGATATAGTCCCGAATGGCTGCCATAAAAAAAGATAAATGCGAGATAATGCAGTAAAAAAAGCAGTAGAATCGAGAATGAAATCCGTAAGGCAGATAAAACTCGTGTCGCCGACTGTACTTTGTGAAACTTCAGTCCGCTATGAAATTGTCTGAACCGGTGGATGAAAAACTGTCTCGGGAACTTTTTACCGATGGTTTTTTTTACTCTAGACCGACGAACTCGTTCCCGACTAGTTTTTACCCTAAAAATTTTTCGAGCTGGAGAAAAACTCTAAATTATCGATTTCATAGCGCTACCGAAATTGAAGTGGGCATTCCACTCTACAAAAAAACGCGTAGAAAAAGTTGCTCGATGTATAAAGAGAACCAGAGACGGAGTCAGTGCCAATGAGGGCGATCGAAGGGACAGCGAAACTAATCGGAAACGTACAATCTACAAGGAATTCTAATTACACCTTCTTGGTCTCCGTTGCCCGCCTATTCACGAATTCGACGTTTCTAGTTGATGGAATCGCTTGCGTAATTAGCTGGATTGAGTGGAGAAAAATTTAGGTCATGCAAATGGCATTCTTTTCAAAGAACAGGAATGCAAAATTTCTACCTACACGATATTTGCATAACGTGGAAAGGTTGAAATAGGGAAATTCTGTAAAAAAATTACTAAACAAATATTTTTCAAGTTTGCGCTTTTATGATAAATCTACCTTTAGTATAGGCATTTCAAAAGTTTTATTATCAAAAACAATAATACAAAAAATAAGACCTATAATACTGATATGTTGGGTAATTTAAAGGTTTAGAGTGCACCTATGTAACCAGTTATTTTGTAATATATTTAGTTGTGTTGAAAATAATAGAATGGCAGTTAATAGGTGATTAAAATTAATTGAACGATTAAAAAAAATTGGCTACGCTCCTGACAGATCCGTCTACAATATTAAAAAAACTTATCCCATTTGCTTGGCCTCGATAATACCGTATGATTCAAAAGACGAAAGCGAGTTTTTGTGAGAAGAAATATTTTATTTTCTTGCTTCATATCATTTGTTCTTCGTTTCTTTTCAGCTAACTATATCGAATTTAATAAATAATCGTAACATTGGTTTTTGCCGCTTACACCCGAGTTACTTTGACTCAATCGGATCCGTTTTTGACCTCGCTGTACAGTGGAACCGGCGTTTTTTTCCTCGAAAAAACCTCGCCAAAAAAACGCGAGAAATCGATAATAGCCAAGAAAAGTTTTTAATGCATTCGAATTGTGTAATTTTATTGCCGGATGACGAATCGTTTTTGCCATTCGCCATGTCGTTGAACCATCGTATGACAATATTCATTTTTAATAATGAAATTCATGCACTTACCTTTACCTAAGCCTATCCAAACCGAGCTGCAGCTCGAACTCAATCGGAACAACTCCATCAATTAAGCGAAACCCATCCTTCAGCGATTCCATTAAATTTGCCGAGCGGTGATTTAACAACACTGTAAATAAAGCGAACGAGAATTTGTCATCAATTTTCCTCTTCGACTATTCGAAAAGAGTTCGATTTAAACGATTTACTGATATCGAGCAGGTATAAACGGTTCAAACCGCGCTAATGCTATATTCCTGCTATATCGTCTACTCGCTAATAATATCTAACGATTGCCGCATTGTAAACTTCAACCTCATGAATAACGATTTTTTTGTATGCATAGTAAATACATATTTCATAAAATCGATTCACCACATATGACTCAATTAATACAGAGTTTTCATAAATGATTGATTCCCACGTGACCGAATTCGAAATGAACTTAGTAAATTTGTTATGTTTATGTTGGTATACAAAAAAGAAGTTACTAGAATACTGTCATTAATGGATTAATGTCAAAAAAACGTCAACTCGATGAAATATCGGTAGAAATAAGGTGTTTTGTTTATTTTTCCTCGTTTTTCCTGTGCTTTTCACGAAGAAAACTGTGTATCAACATAACCTTAAATTAATGATAGGTAAAAATAATGAAGAACCTAGTGGATTAATGTTCTGTGTTGATTTGTATTCAAAATAGGGACATTTCTTGAAAATAATAACAACTGTGCACTTTTGGTTGCATAAATTTTTAGGTAACTTGAGAATCAATCATTTGTTGTAATTGCAAATAAGAACAAAGAAGTATGCAGTTTGTACGGTTTAGAAGTACGCAATTCATACGTCCAGGGACAATTCAATCTATCCTCATTGCAAACGGTCCCCCTCAAAAACGTTACCCGATCCATTGTAGTCATGCCTCTCGCATTTGAAAAAAAAAAATCTAATCGACCCTCGCCCTCCTTTAAAACCGAAAATCGCATACGACTTTCAATAGATTGTAAAACTGTAAAATGGCCAAAAAAATCGGGGGTCGAAAAGCATGGCGACGTTGCGAGAGGGCTTCCGTTACGAGGCGGGTTTTGCTTTGTGCCGATCCGGGTGGGTACCACCCGGTCTAGGATTGGATAGGAAAATCCGCCGGGGTGGATCTTAGGGGTGCGGATCGCCCGTACCCTCGGGTTCCGGGCGAGAGGCGTAGTTTTTTTTCGGTCGCGCTCAAAAAACTCACCCCTTTCGACCGGTGCGGCACGGAGATAAGATATGCGCGCCTTTAATGTGGGAAATTCGATTTTTTTGAAGACGGCCGAACCACCGAGTTAAGTGAAGATTGTTTTTTACGTGTGAATCTTTTTTGTCTATTTTTTTTTTCGTGCGTTCGGAAGTTTTCTTCTGCGGGAAAATGTAGTAGGTAATTATTTCTTGCGCGAATATTTTTCTGTGGAGGTTCAGGTCGAGAGTAAGCGTAGCGTAAATTTTTTTTTTTTTTTGGTTTTAAAGACCCATCTGACCTTCCGTTATGTAATTTTCGAATTTAGGAAATTTAGTCGTCAAATCAAATATGTACGTATTTGATTGTTAATTGTCTTCGGATGACGCACATTGGGTCTAGTTTTTATGTAACCAGTTTTTTTTTGTAATGAAAAAAAATCAAAAAGAAAAACTATTAAATTATACCGAAGAAGTCATCAATAAAATTATTCGAATGCATAAAAATGTTCGTTAGTTCACGATAAAAAAAAATATTCGAAGGTTTACAGAGGAATCCGTGTAAATATAGAAGCACTTCGTATTCAAATTTATGTTTGGATTTTAGCGTATTAAAATAAATCCAATGTTAAGTGAAAACGGTATATTTTTAAGTATTTAAAGCATTGTTATCAAAATTGTGATCGATGACTTGTGTATAAAATTAAGTTGTTATAATGTTAAGAATTAAAAGCATTAATTTCCGGAATTGTTTTTTATAAAAAAAACTAATTGATACTTGTAGTACGTTATATAGAAAAAAATGTGTACTCAGCATACTTAATTTTTTTCTACGAATAATTTTTATAAAATGTTCGAATCGACCAATTTATAAAAAAATAAACAATAAAAATGATAATTAGACAAAACATTCGACCGATGCTATCCACGGCGGGGCCCGTCTGACTTTTTTTCTTGAGGCCGAGTAAAAAATTTCAATAATCCCTATCACTTAGGCCAGTTCATTTGCGTGTGAACCGTAGAAAAAAGGACATCTCGTCATCTATCCATTTAATATGCACGAACACGGTATGTCAACATGCCCGTTCGCCCAGTCGAATAAATCACTACAAAGCACCCACGAAAAAAACCAGGTACATCATCTTTGTTTTTTTTTTCGGGAACTCCTAAGACTCTACCCCTTTTCTCACACTGGCTATATTTGAGCTTTTTTTCGCTCCGAAAAAACTCGGAAATTTTCATACGCAACGCGGCCAGAATGTAATGCGTACCTTCGCGCAAAAAACGCACAGGTAAAACGCCCGGTGGGGGCAACGAGACATGAAAGGGTCCGAACGCACTTATTCCAATCTCTCATCTACCTCCCTACGGCTCTTTTTCGCAACGACTATAAATTTATTCATGTGGTCATTAGGATTGTATTGTTTCAATAAAAAAATATACACATAAGTGCAAATCGGGCGCAAAACATTTTCTCACTCTGATATTTTAATAATATTTGTTAAATAAATTTGTCATACTAGTTTGGAGAAACTGCAGTATTTTGTTCGCGTAGGAATGCTTTAAAAATGTACTGTGTATATTAATAAATAAAGTGAAAAAGAACAGTCGGGAAAGCGAAGGCGTTTTTTTTTGGCTCGTAAAATACGGCATTTTCGCTCGTTTCAGAAGAAATGGATTTTCCTGGGAAGATGCGCAAGTCTGGCGATAAAAAAAACTTCCCAAACAGAAATGCAGACATAAGAGTGCAACGACAATTGGGAAATCGATAAAAGTGCAGGTCGGGATTGACGAAAATGAACTAAAAAAAAAAATAGGTCGAACTAAACGAATCCTGACCTACTTGAGGTCAACCAGAAATTTACTGAACGACACTTTCACCAATTATCTACATTACCTTACGGTTTCGTTAATTATTTCCAGTGTTTCCGACGTCGTATCCGAACAACCAAGCGGAGCTGCAGCTGTTCAGGGTGATGCAGAACGCGTCGCTGTTGCTCTACTACGACACGCTGCTCGAGATGGGCGGCGACGACGTCCAGCAGCTCTGCGACGCCGGCGAAGAGGAGTTCCTGGAGATCATGTCGCTGGTCGGCATGGCCTCGAAGCCGCTGCACGTGCGCCGGCTGCAGAAGAGCCTCCAAGAGTGGGTGACGAACCCGGTGAAGTTCAAAACGCCCCTGGTGGCCGGCGACGACTTCGAATTGGAGTTGTCCAGTCCTCGGGTGACCGGCAACCACGTATTCTATTCGGACAGCGGCGACGGGAGCAGATCGATGTATTCCCCGTCGCCCGGTGATCATTGTGCCTTACCACCGCCTCCGGTGTCTAGTCCGGGGTTGACGCTTAGCAACAAAAGGTAGGCGATTGCTGATCGATCAACGGTTAACCGGTTGTAAACATTCCTATGTTTCCCATGCACCAGGAGTGTCTTAGAATCCACGAACTAATCGAATGGTTTTCAGGCCTTATTCCCCGCTGGATTCGGCTTGTCCGCCGTCGTCTAGCTCGAGTCCCGGGGCGAATGTATCGATGCAGCTCTCCCCGAACTTGGTGGAAAGCCAAATAGCGAAACTGGCCGCGGCGGCGGAGCGGCTGAGCAAGCAGCTGCCCCAGTTCGAGCCGAAGCCGCACAACGCCAAGAAAAAGGTGTGCAAAGAACTGGAATTGGTGATGTCCATGCCGGAGAACGATCCGAGGAGAATGGACGAAATCAGAAGGTATGCCGCCATTTACGGGCGATTCGACTGCAAACGAAAACCCGAAAAACCTCTGACGTTGCACGAAGTGTCCGTGAACGAAGCCGCGGCGCAGATCTGTAGATTTATTCCGGCGCTGTTGACTAGACGCGACGAATTGTTTCCGCTTGCCAGGCAAGTGGTTAAAGATTCCGGCTGTTATTATTCCAAAACTCAGTAAGTCATGTCTTTAATGGAGTTGGAAATTTTACAACCGGTTAAAACAATTTAGTTTCATTCAATAACTGGCCAATTCCAATTTAATAAACGCCCAATCGATCTTGACGACCGTAATTATTCATTGCGATCGATTTTTTTTCCAGATTGACCACGGTGATTATGAACAAACAAGCGATGTTAGGACACGAAAGGGAACAAGATCTAAGCTCATCCAGAGCTAGTCCTAGGATCGGAACGTCCGAAGCCGAAGGTCCGACGAGCAAGAGGCCGAAAATGGAAGCCAGCTCAGATTCTGACGACCGGCAGGTCAGCCAGTTATCAAGGCTCAAACTACCTAATCCGTCACATGTCATTATTCATTTAAAAGACTAACGCTTATACGCTTTACATTTTTAGGGGCTTCAGCAAAGCTTACGTTCGCATTTACCTAACACATACAGCAGAAATGGAGTCTTTACCGATACGTCACAAAGCACAGCCCTGAAGTTAGTTTCTTATCTGTCACTTGTCTTCTATTCTTTATTGATGTCTTATTTAGGTATTCTTCGACACCATCGATTACTCAGTGGGTACCAAATAATTCCAGTTAATCGAAAATTGTATGACAAACCTGTAAAGACTCGCCGTTTTTGTTGTAGGCATGCCGAAAATTCGTTTTTGTCGCTTTTATAATAACCTAGGCACTTAGGACTTTGGACCTAGGTGTAACAGCTGGTAGAAAATTGGCGATACTAAATTGCTTATGCGGTGCTTTAGGCTCGAAGAGTGCGCTGGATGTCTGTGAAGATCTCCTTCGAGATATCTAGCGTGCTCCTGCCAAGTTATTTTTCCTTCAAAAGATTCTAGTCATAATTGTCTATATAATTTTGTTATTTGAATTAAATGTTTAATAAAAGCTCTACAGGGTGATCGATTTCTGTGAGAAGACTTCTTTTCATTTAATTATTTTTTGTAAATAAGGTTTATTCATATTTTCATACGAGTTTTTCACATAAATTGGACACCTTGCGTATTTTAGGTGAAGAAATGTGAGTATAATCGGCTGTAATAATTTATTGTTGTATTGGTATACCTATGAAAAATTTTAGGATTTTTAGCAAAGAAGAAAAGGTAAAGGTATGCTGATTATTTTTAAGTAAGTATCCTCGTTATAGAGTAGCTAAGCAATTTAAAAAAATATTTCAATTAAATATTTTGAGCTCCTTTTATTTTTACTGTGATATATTCAATAAATAGTTAGTTCGCTGATTTATGTTTTAATTAAAAATAATCAGTGAACAATCTATGGAATAATGAAATAATAATATAGACAAAAATAATCAAAAAACCAAATATTTTAATGACTTGGCTTGCATGTGCTTTGTTAATGTCTGAAAGGACATTAAGTAGAATAGATGGCTTATACTTATTAAACGCTTCGCACTTTTAATTTCCGTTATTTTTTCGGGGAATTCATTAAGCAATTACTTCCCTGTAAAAATGTAATTTAACGCATCACACGATCCCCGTATTAATATATTTCTCGCGCTTGTTTTGACTGTAGGATTACGACGAGGCACTAGTGGTGAGAACTTCAATACATTCCCTGTTCCAAAACTCCAAAAATCATCAAACGAACTCTCGGTAAGATTTCGATAATTCGCTATACTACAACCGAATTAACAACTATTTTTCACTAAAGGAGTACTTCTTTAAGGAGATCCTCGATCGGAGCAGAAGTGGAAGAATCCGACTCGCAGTTTACCTACAGCAACTCCAGCAGTCCTCAGGTTAGTACGGGAAAAGCTTAGGAAAAATTCGAATTATTTGCGTTTTGTTTAGAGGAAGCCGGAAGACCAAGGGGATCACGAAGAAGACGCGAAATACTCGCCGAAAGTACAAATAATCGCAGCGAGCGGCGATAACATCATAGCAGTGGCGAATCCCGCGTTGGCCATGTCTTCTGCCATGTTGCCGCTCGCGCCTATCATAGAACCCAGGGAAAACCGCACCGAAGTGGAGTGACCGAACGGATAATTTATTTTTTCATTATGGAAAATTTTGTTCTGACAGATTTTTAAATACTGTGATTTCAAATGTTATCTGCAAAAATCATTTTAAACTGACTGAATACGTTGTAAGTTAATAGTTTAAGAAACGAATGTTTTCGACTGTAATCAAAATAGGTACCTTTTTTTTTGTTTGATTTCTCATACAAATTCATAAGTAGCTGCAGATTTAAAGTATATTTTGATAAAGTACAATTTCTTGTAGTGTTGTTAATAAAGTTTTTTTTACGAAACTATTATTCGTTTTATTAAATCCAACCACTTTTCGCAACAAATGAAAGTAATTTTCAGAAAAAACATGATTTTATTCACCTGGCAACAATGCGCATTGTCTATTGATCGAAAGATGCTACGCTACACAATGCAGAGTCTATTTAATTGAATTTATTATACATACTACTAATAAAATTAAAATCAATAAAATCAAATTCATCAAACATATTATTCAGGACAATATTTACGAAGTTAATGGATAAAAAAATAAAAGATAAGCAAACGCACCACCCTGTAGAAAAATTACTAAAAATTTAAATCAATTATCTAACGAATTTGACGAAACATCACTGATAAACGCATTTGTAACGATAAAGAGAAAATTTAATTGTAACTTAACAGACCGTTCAATTACTGGAAATTATTAATAAAGTTAACGCCTGAGTCGGTATCAATGATCTTGCATTATCAAGAACTCAATATTATTCCAGGGAACAATTAAACGGACCTCAAGATGCATCTGCTGCCACAACGGAGACCAGTGATCTTTGAACGCTCTGCTGATAAATAATAATTTATTGGCTGCCCGATGTTCGCCACAGTCGACGGAAGATACGGATGAAAAAAGAACTGTGAGCTACTGCTCAATTCGAAAAAAAATATTTTGTGATATTGTTTGGGTGCAGAACGATGGTTTTAATTGTGCTCAAAATTCTGGCGGCGGTTTTCGTTTTGCACGTCGTCACGGTGTCGGGTTCGGTGATCGTGGAGAAAAAGGAAAACTGGCGCTCCCCGCGCTCGAATTTCAAATTCAGCGTGGACGAATTGCTGAGCAGGGTGTTCCCGACGAAAACCTCCAACGATCTCTACATGGACCCGTGCAAAGCAGGTAAAATGTACAATTTTATTCGTGGAATGCAAGTTTTAATTAACGCGATTAGGACTAATTATATTTCGAATTGTAGATTATTTTTAACTTCTCGTTTTTGATTGTTGATCATTAAAATTTTCAATCCTCAAAATTGCAAGTTAATATCAAGAACAATACAAATATGCCCGTCTTACAAAATTTTGTTCCATAGGAGAGCGTCGGGAAGATTTATAGAAAAACCGAATCCTTGAAACCTTTTCAAATAAAACTTTCGACGAATTTATTTTAATATCCATTCGAATGTTTGTTCCATCGACACGTGAATGTCGAGGTTCATCAACTCCTCGTTATCACACATGTCTGATAAAAGAAACGAAAGGAAAAATCTTTCTATTTAGTGCATATATTCGTACGAAACCGCCGAAACGGCCCGGAAAGGTGCGGATCGATTAAAATAAATCGCCAATTGACGAAATGAAAACGTTCGTCGTTGCTTGCAGATTCGAAAATTGTTTACCTGTAAACAAATTTACTTTAATTTCGCCGACTGTATCACATGTGAATCGCATTCATTGATACAATTACGTTTAATATCCCGTTTAAGTAACGTAACAAATCTTTTATGTCCACTTCCTTACATCAAGAGCTTCATGAAAGGTCGACCGAATTTAGTTATTTGTTTCCTGTTAGGTGGTTCGCTGATTAATACTTTTCGAATATAAAACGATACAGGAGTGAAATAAAAACATATTATTTTTTCACTTTCGAATCGATAAAAAAATTCTACCGAAACAGTTAAAAAAATTGACCTATTTTTGGCGAGATTCTCATTTTTATATTCTCCGTTTCCAGCAGAATCTGCTGTTATTTTAAATTTTCTTACACATAAATGAATGTTTAATAATATCTGTGTATGATAATCGTAATTGCCTGCACGATATTTAAAATGCCTTATCATTTATTTTGTAAATTGCACTTATCAAAAAGCCATACGGTCTCCTTGTGTCAACTTTGTTGTAAACTAATATCAACACATAAAAATTAAAAATAACTCAATTTTCTATTTAAAGTATTGCCATGATTGTAGATTTGTTCGCGTTTTATATCACATTACATTAGTTTCACAACAATATTACCTACTATATCCCCTGTTAAATAATGCAAATTTATTTCAGACAGCTTCTTTGGAGACATAGCTCTATCTATGCAAGACCAATCGCCGAAATCGGCTCCCAAGTACTCGAATTTCCAGAAGGAAATCGAAAAGTACAAGCAAGACATCTTAGACGGATTGCAAATCGAAGAGGAAGGCTTGACGGATTATTTGAGAAAGAAAACCAAGCAAGCGACTTCCATCACGTTGCCGAAACATTACAACGACCCCTTCGACAGCGTCCCCGTGAATTCCGGCCAAAAAAACGAGCAAATCATCAACAAATTCGCCGAAAACGACGAGCTGAGCCCCTTCGAAAAAGCCACCGATCACAAGCAAAGCATCCCACCAGCGCAAGACGGCGATGTAACATTCAAATCAAGGAAACGAAGACACTTAAACACCGTTAGGTAAGCCTTACTAACTAAAAAAAATATTTTAATATAACGTTTACTCGAAGATCTAATAGCCACAGGTTCCCCAAGGAGCCGCCGGTTCACGAATTCGAGCCGAATTTCGACCTGAAGAGGAAGAGCACCGCCTCGTACGAGAGGCCCCACATGAGGGTGATCCGGGCGGCGACGGCGAGGAAGGAAAGGATCTGGGACTACGGGGTGATTCCGTACGAGATCGACGGGAATTTCAGCGGCTTGCACAAGGCGCTGTTCAAGCAGGCGATGAGGCACTGGGAGAACTTCACGTGCGTGAAATTCGTGGAGAGGAACCGGGACGAGCACCAGAATTACATCATATTCACGGAGAAACCCTGCGGGTAAGTGGCGTTCTTTGTGCGGATTCGTTTCGAATAAATCAACGTTGTTTCGTATCATCTCGAAACAAATAACTCCTTCATCGATTCCAGATGTACGAGAATATTGTTTATAAAATGATAAATTTATATAAGTTTTCGGTGCACAAATTCCCAAAAGTAATTGTGTTGCAAAAATTCGCCTTTGACCTTGCTTATCGACTAATTTCTATGTAAAATAAATGGATTTATTTAATTAAGATACGAACGATTATAAAATCGTCGATATCGACTAGATTTTTTTTTAATTTGTTTAACATGCAATTTGTCTAATATAATATATATCGCATATATCTTACGCAATTTCACTCAATACCCTTCAAGATTTTTCCTTGATCCTTTGTGAACTTGATTTCTTGTTAAAACTTAAATGTTTGTTCTAATTTTTAGACTTGAAAAAAATTTGGGATGTTACGAAAACACAAAAAAGTATCCAACTTGGAAAAAAATAACCGAAATATTTTCACGTGAACCGACTTCTCAGCAACGTATCTCTTTTTTAGATGCTGTTCTTTTGTAGGAAAAAGAGGTAATGGCGGTCAGGCCATTAGTATTGGAAAAAACTGCGATAAATTCGGCATTATTGTTCACGAACTGGGGCACGTAGTGGGCTTCTGGCACGAGCACACGAGACCCGACAGAGACAAGCACGTCAACATCATCCGAGAGAACATCATGAGCGGTAAATATTCGAAATAAACTTTTTATAAACGCACCGAGCTCATAGTGGTTGTTTTTTCTGCGTAGGCCAGGAATACAATTTCAATAAACTCAGCGAAGACGAGGTGAACTCGTTGGGTATTCCGTACGATTACGATTCTATTATGCACTACGCTAGAAACACCTTCTCGAAAGGAACTTATTTAGACACCATTCAACCTATCGATGTACCGGGCAGGAAACGTCCTGAAATCGGCCAGAGGATCCGCCTTAGCGAAGGAGACATCGCTCAAACGAATCTACTCTACAAATGTCCAAGTAAAGATTGCGTTGTTGCTGGTTAAAATGTATTATTTTTGACATTATTCCAGAATGCGGTCGGACTTACCAAACGAACTCGGCGACGTTTTCACCGCCCGTGTACGTGGAAAGCGCGCCGAAGGACGAGGTGCGTTGCGAGTGGCGCATCACGGGAACCCACGGCGAAAAAATCGTCCTGAACATCAGCAATCTGGACATCGCGAAATCGCCGGACTGCAAAACGGACTACATAGAAATCCGGGACGGTTATTGGCACAAATCGCAGATACTCGGGCTGTTCTGCGGCACCGGGCAGATCCCTTTGATCAGATCGACGGGAAGCCGAATGCTGGTCACTTACGTTTCGAAGAACCCCAAAGGCCACAAAGGCTTCATCGCCAGCTACGAAGGTAAATTAACCAGCCTTATCCTCGAACTTGCAACAGCAAATGTTATTTCCTACGCGAAATCCAACGAAACCGACAATACATACAGTATAGTGTTGTAGCTATCTGCGGAGGGGACCTTCACATCGACTCCGAAGGGCACCTGGAGTCTCCGAACTACCCGGAAGATTACCAAGCGAACAAGGAGTGCATTTGGAAGATCATCGTTCCGAAAAACCACCAGGTCGCTTTGCGATTCCTCTCCTTCGACGTGGAAAACCACGACAACTGCGTGTACGACTACGTGGAGATCAGGGACGGGCTGACGTCCGATAGTCCGATTTTGAAGGTTTACTGCGGGCATAAAATCCCGCCCGACACGATATCGTCCTCGAATGAGATGCTCGTTAAGTTCGTTTCCGACGGATCCGTCCAGAAAACCGGATTCTCCGCCATAATCATGAAAGAATACGACGAGTGCTCCAAAATCGACCACGGATGTGCACAACAATGCGTCAACACTCTAGGGAGCTACGTGTGCACTTGTAAAATAGGATACGAGCTCCACTCCGACGGGAAAAATTGCGAAGGTACACAAACATCCTAATTGTTACATTTTTCATACACTGTATAATATTTTATAATGGTTTCAGATGCCTGCGGTGGGATCTTCGAAGCGGCCAACGGAACCATCACGTCGCCTTCCTTCCCGGATTTGTACCCGCTAAATAAAAACTGCGTTTGGGAAATAGTGGCGCAGCCACAATATCGCATAACAATAAATTTCACGCATTTCGAGCTGGAAGGGAACCTCAACGCGCAGCAACTGCAATGCGAGTACGACAAAGTGGAGATATACAGCAAATTGAAAGAGGAGAAACTGAAGAAACACGGATCCTTCTGCGGGCCCAAAGCCCCCGGTCCCATTACATCCGAAGGGAATATTATGAGAATTGTGTTTACATCGGACACCAGCGTGCAAAAGAGCGGATTCGCTGCCGTGTTTTTTACAGGTACTTATTACTAAATATACGCTAGTAAATATTTAATAATATATTTTCAGATATGGATGAGTGCGCAATCAACCATGGAGGTTGCGAGCACGAATGCGTGAATACATTAGGAGCGTACATTTGCACGTGCCACAACGGGTACACTCTAGCAGAAAACGGCCGGGACTGCAAAGAAGGGGGATGCAAATACGAAATCTCCACGCCGTACGGCACGCTAGGCAGCCCGAACTACCCCGATTACTACCCAGCGAGGAAGGACTGCGTGTGGCACTTCACCACCACGCCGGGCCACCGGATCCGCATAGCCTTCCAGCTCTTCGAGCTGGAGCCGCACCAGGAGTGCTCCTACGATCACGTCGACTTCTACGACGGCTCGTCGCCGGAATCGCCGTCGCTGGGCCGGTTCTGCGGATCGAAGCTGCCCCATTTGATAGTCACGTCGGGCAATCAGATGTACATGACTTTCAGGTCGGACGCGTCCGTGCAAAGGAACGGGTTTTGGGCCACGCATTCGACCGTGTGCGGCGGCATGTTGGAGGCCACGTTCGAGAAACAGCACATTTATTCGCACGCGAAATTCGGCAGCGCGAGTTACGAGAACCGGGCGGATTGCGAGTGGAGGATCGAGGCTCGCGGGGGCTACAACGTGAAATTGTCGTTTTTGACGTTCAATATCGAAGACGAGAAGGATTGCGGGTACGATTACGTTGAGATAATCAGCGGGCTGGACTCCAGCGGGCCGTCGTATGGGAAATATTGTGGATCCAAGGTGACTACATCCGCTATTTAGAAAATACTGCTAACGTGTTATCAATTATTTTGCATCGTTTCAGAAACCATTTGATATCACCTCCACCCACGAGGCACTTCTAGTGAGGTTCAAAACTGATGATACTCTAGTAAGCAAAGGGTTTAGTCTTGTGTACGAAGCTGTGGAGAGCTCGACGAGCGAAGAAGAAATTTAAGGAAATCAAATTTGACCTATTCGCAATCACTTTCGTTAGAAATTTCGCGTTTTAATCATAAGTAAACGGGCACCCAATTAAGATGGCTGAACTGTTTCATTTATCTAATTACATTGTATTAATTATTTTTTTTTAATGACTACCTAATAGAAAATATAAATTGTAGTATTATCTATTTAAGTTAGTATTTTATTATCATATACACCTCTATATCAATGAAATTGACGTTTTAAAATAATATAAAACAAATAAGTAATATTACAATTCTGCTTGAAACTGCCATTTTATTTGGGTTCGTAAACAACTTCAAATAAAACACAAAATTCGAAATAAAAGCATCAAATTTCAATCAATGCTGAAACGAAAATTATAATAGTTAGTGATAAATGTAAATAAAGAATTATAAATATGATTAAAATTGTAGATATAAGAATAGACTAAGCAACTAAGCCTTATCTCTTATTTGTAGGACCGTAGCTCGTGACATTTTGTAACGTAGTATTTACTCAGTGTGATGATTATAATTGTAATATACAGTGCGACAGGAATATCTGGAGACGCGAAGGTCACATGCGCAGTAGCAAAGTGCACATCTTGCAGCACCTGTCATTCCTGTCAAACTGTGCTATAGTTTTAAATTTCAAGCGCACTTGATGCGCATCTGTTATGAAATTACAATAGCTGAAGTAATATTTCACGGCGAATATTCGCTTCAACAATTTTAATTCGATTATTTATTAATTGTGTATTTATTTATAATACATTTTATAATTATAAAAATACTAAATAGAAATAAAGAAATAAGTAAGAGTTGATATTATTTTAAAGATAATGCCATTACATATTATCCTACGTGATTTAGGTGGTTTGAATGAATATATCTGAATATTTTTAAAGTTTTTATGTTTTTTGAGTCCGGGGGAACAACGCACTATAGAGGATAAACATCGCGCAATCAGATATGACTATCTCTTCACATGTATACATAATATATTTATATATTTTACACATATTTAATTAACTTAATAAAGCTGTTGGACTATGACCCTCGGTCGAAATAATTTAGCACACTTACAAATGTATTAACTAAATTAACTAATTATTATTAATTATAGTATACACTGATGTGTTTATATTTTATCCAATTTAAAACTGATCAACGAGGAGATCGCAAAGCTCCACTGATACGGACTCTTTGCTGGAACGTACAGTCAATCGATACATCTGCAATAAAAAACATGCTATGAATCAAAGCTCATCAAAGATCAAAAAGAGTACCTGAGCATTCCGGTTTGGTTCTAATCTCAAAAGACAGCCGACTTGCTGGGATCTCATGTGAATAATACCGGCACAAACGAAATTATCCGGATTGGGATCGATTCCCTCCAACAGCTGCATCCCAAAACCGATGATTTTGGTTTTCGCTGCTTGCAGATCCATCGGAGCGGTCGCTTTGAATATTTTCTGAGATCTTTGTTGGTTCGTGCTAACGTAATAAAAAAATGAGAGGTCCGAATTTAGGAATGAAAACAACTAACTTACTTTCCCAAGTTTTTCCACCGCGCGAAAAACGATTCGCCGTTCATTTCTGTCGGCTCGAAGAATTTGTTGATAGTGAGTGGAAGCTTTATGTTGATTTTGTGCGGAACTTTGTTGCAAACGAAGCTCACAGAAATACTGGGCGAATCTAAAAAACAAGGGTTTACTCTGGAAGTAAATTGGATTAAATGTACAAACCTGTGTAATCGTCGATGCATTCTGCATTGATCATCTGCTGTATCTGAGCGCCAGCTTCCAGAATCGGCTCGACAGGCTTTATTTGTATGCTCAATTTGGCGTTGTTTTCTTCCGACCATTGCATGGTAGGGAAGAAATTTTGCAAAGGGGCGTTCGTTTTGTTCCCGTAGAACAAGCCGAGGCGGCCCAGATTCTGTCTGAATTCGCTTTTAACGCCGATTTGGATCAAATCGTTCTCGAACAACACGCCGTTATTCTTGCAAACAAACCTAAAACGCCACATGAGTTGAATGAAACGTAAAATAGAAACAAAATTATAAGCTGGCTACAAATCTTAAACATCTATAGTCATTCTATATAAAATTTCAATACGTACTTCTTAGGATCTACAAACCAATTTTTATTAGATGATGTCGAGCTGTTCACTGATTTACCGCTGTAAATGTCGCCCAAAACATCTAATAAAACCCCAGTATTTCCCGAATTCGGAGCAGAAGTAGGTGGAGTTGATAGCCCCAGCAAATCAGCTGAATTTGTACTACAAATTTTTTTTAATAAACACACCAAACGTCTTGGAATTCGCAAATAATTCACCTTGTGTTGTTCACATCGTTGGTGTGATTGTTGTTCAGAGGCGTGGGACTTTTGCTATCCTTAATCTCGTTTTCCGGAACTCTGCCGGGCTTCTTCTTTTTCAACACAGCGAGTATGGAACTCTCCCTTTCGGGGAACGCCGGCATCTCTTCCAGAACCGTCGCCAGCACGTCGGAGCTAGCTATGATGCTCAACTGCAAGTATTCGGACGCTCGTTGTTGCAACTCGGCGTCGGCGGATCTCAGGTTGCTGTGCTGCTTGAAGACCTCCTGGACTTGCGTGCGGATTTCGGGGAACAGATTGATGAATTTGATGTAGGTGGACAACAGCAGAGCGCGAGTCATGGGGGAACACAGATGGTATTTCGAATGTAAGAGTTGGAATTGAACGGCCGGCGAGGACCGTTGATCGCCCGCTATCAGGTTCCCGAACTCCCCGAGAATGTAACCGCCGACTTTGACCATGTTTTCGTGGCACGCCGGCGCCTGCAATGCCTGAAACATATTTGTTATTAGATCTTTGGGTATATTTCACCGGGAATTTTATTACCTCAAATACCGTTTTCGCAGCGTAGCCTTGAACTTCGTCTCTGTTTATGACTATCTGAATGACACGGTACCATACTTCTTCAGATACATAATCCCCAGCAATCCTGATCAGATTCAGAATAACATCGACATACCAAGTGTAATCTGTAGCGTATTTCTCGGCGAGAATAGCCACTTTGAGAACCATCTCCTCTCTTATGGAATAATCAGCAGTTTCGAGATAATTTAACATTTCTTGGACTATCTCCTCGGCGTTGCTCTTGTCGCACATGGCGTACAACAAATCGACAGCTTGCTGACGAACTGAAACATCTTTTTCCATCTTCATCGACAGAATGACCACTTCCTGATGTTTCTTGACCGCTTCGTGAGAAAATTCCGAAGTGGCCAGATGGCACATCGATTCCAGAGCCAAATACCTCAAATTCGTCTCTCTGTTACTCAAGAACTGCCCCAGTTGATTACAAGCTCTTACGAGGAGGTTCGCCTCGCTATAGAAACGGACAAAAAAATTTATTACACCATTAAATTAAAAGCTTATTTCCAGTTCCACTCACCTATCGTTGTGAATAATCAAACTTATTGCTTCGAAGAGAACAGCATTTTTAGCATTCGAGTGTTGAACTTTCTTGGATTTAGGAGGTTCCTGAGCTTTGTTCAGAATCGTTTCCAAACATTCATTGAGCCTTCCTCTTACGCCAGGATCTTCAGCTAGAGTAACATATGTTTAATACGACATCTTATTTATCCGGAAACAACTTACCAGGTGGAGTGTAATTTTGTAATAATCTTAACAATTTAACAGAGAGCCAAGGTGCTGGTACGAAATAGTAAGTGTAATCTTGCAAATCCGTGTAACTTGCCGTTACAATCTGAAATGCAACAAGATTTGTTTAAAGTGCGATTTTTCCTTTTTTTTTATTCACTTACTCTACTTAGTCTAGACACTGCAAGCGATACACATCCCTTATATTCTTCGGGATTCTTTTTAACCAGCGCGTCTATCAGGCTTGTAGCAGCGGTTACAACGCCCATGTGTTGATCGTTTAGCAAATGAATGATTCGAGAGGTCCATTCTCCTCCGGGAATGATGTCCTGCGATGTTCTGAACAAACGCAACAGACACAAAGCAGCACTCTGCTTAACAACATCCATTGTGTCCCTAAAAATAAGTAAAAAAATTGTCTAACGAAGAATGTATAAATCCTATTTAATTTTTTGCATTTTTGTAACAAAGTATGCAACAATGTAAATGTTTAACGTATTTAAATAGTTCATTTCAATGGACAGATTACAATTCATTATTATTTATCGAAAGAATGTATGCATGAGCTTACCCTGACACGAGCAATCTAGGAATTTCACTTCCGAAAGCTTCCGCCATTTCTCTGCTACCGATGTTTGCGATGCACTGCAGGGCCAAATTAACATGAATCGGATTCCTCGATCCAAGATCATTTTTAATGCTTTGGATTATGAGCTTGATAAGTTCACTGTTTGTATTGACTAGCACTGATATAAATAAATATCCCTAGAAGTTTTAAGGCAACCGTTAGTTTAAATGAATCGATAATATCAAGATGAACTTACAATTTGCTTTTCTGAGTATTTATTAGATGATAAAAGGTTGACTGCTTCCATGTGTCCGAAATCAATGTCATGGCCCAATAAAAATATAAACAACAATTTGCACACGTACTTCTTCTTCTGGTATCCATCTAAGGTTTTGTCCCCTTTGAATTTACTTCGAATATTGGCTAGTTCCTTGTTTATTCTCTTAATCTCAGCCTCCTTGCTTTTACCTTCAAAAAAGTCGTAAGGAAGGAATTTTCTTCAATTGTGCGGTACTTACAGTTTCTAATATCGGAAATAAACACTGCCAATCCTCGCATGCCATCTCCCCGAACTGCCGGCATGGCTAAAATGAAAATTACTACTTATTTAATAAACAAATGTAGTTGATATGCCCTCCCCCTGTTACAATCAACTATATTGTGTAAACATAAAACAATGTAAAATTCTTACCCTTTGATTTAATTAGTCACAGAAATATTATTTAGTAACCGTTTTTAATTTCAATATTTAGTAAATAATTATATTAGTACGAAAAAGACTATTTAACGAGTTTCATTTACTGGGGGCAGATCCGCAGTCGGTCATTGTCTAGCTGTCATATGTCACGATTGTCACGTCAATTTTAATCAACAATCGCATGAAGTTGGCTACTTAAAAATGAAAGCTGCGTTCCGAATTCAACCGACCGTATTGATTGATCAGGGTTTCAAACAAAAAAACGCATAAAATATTTAGGGCTTGGCGTTTTTAAGTTGGCAACAATTGGATCAATCAAACAAACCAAACATTTTGAATTATTTTTTAACGGCAACGGCACTCTTTAAAATACACTTACTTTCTGGGAGTTGTTAATCCGTTGTATGTTGTGTAGATATTTAATTTAAAAAAATAGTGAAAAAATAGGACCTAATCAAGTAAGTGAGCTTGTGCGTTAATTGATTCAATTCAGATTTTATCTGAATGTTGTTTTTTGTTATTGATATGGTTTTTGTATCAAACTTTTTGTTTATCAAATTTCATTCTTGAAGCTTTTGCTTATAAAAATGCGATGATGCACTGCGTATTATATCGTATTATTCAATTCCAGATATACAATGGACCCAAAAAAACGAACAAAACTGCCTGTTGCTGCGGCACAATCCTCGAAATTAAGAGTTAAAACTGAGACCCAACCTAGTAGTGTTTCTGTTTCCGCCACCAAAGAATCGAAGAAGCCATTCTTGAGAAAACGATCCATGTCGATGACTGAATTTTCGGTTTCATCTAAATCCAAAACGGCATTCAAAAGGCCAGCTCCCGTGCCCATGAACAAAATTGTAACCAGTCAAAAACCAAAGAAGCCTAAAATTCCAGATTGGGATTACAAATCCAGATTCCAGAATTTACAAGGAATACACACGAAATTAGTGGAAGACAGCAAGAAGAGCCAGGAGAGACTAAATGGTGAGGATTTAACGTAAGATTATTGTAAAATACTTATATTAACTTTATTTGTAGATTTGGAAAATATAGAAGAGCAATATTTGAAATTAAAAGGAGATTTCCAAACCGTAGAAACCGAAAGAAATGCTTTCAAAGTTCAATTAAACGAAACGTCTTCGAAATTAGAGCGTCTAGAAAATATAGAAAGTAAATATCAGAGCGTCACAAAGGAATTGGTACATATTACAGACGAAAATAGGACGTTGAAAATTAAGAATGATGAATTGAACTCGACGCTGCAACAATTATACTTAGAACGAGATACGTTGAAAAAATCCAACGAGCAATTGGGCAGTTTGCTGGAGAAGAACGAAGTGGTTCGACGTAAACTCCATAATAACGTGCAAGACTTGAAGGGCAACATACGAGTATTCTGCAGAATCCGGCCTGCTATAAACGAACAGGAAAACGTAAAAGAAAAGTGCTATTTGAAGCTCCAAGAAGACAGTTCATTGGAAATAGCGAAAAGCAATGCAGTAAATAACAAGCAAGTCTTCACGTTTAATACTGTTTTCCACGAGGGATCGACCCAATTGGAATGTTTCGAAGAATTGGCCCAACTCGTACAGTCTGCTCTCGACGGTTATCACGTTTGCGTTTTTGCATACGGACAGACGGGTTCCGGAAAAACCTACACAATGCAGGGATTAGACACACCGAATGATATCGGTGAGTTTCACATTCGCAAATTCGCAACGAAATTCGCTACATAATAATTTCAATTTTCAGGTATGATTCCCAGAACAGTCAATTTGATATTCGATTCGATAGAAAATCTGAAGTGCTCCAATTGGACGTACGAAGTCAGAGTCAGCTTCCTCGAAATATATAACGAGACCGTCAGGGACTTGTTGACGACAACCCTCCAAAATCTGGATATATGCTTTAACGAAGGGAAAGGTACTACAGTGAACAATCTTCAAATCAAGCAAATCTTCTCGTACGACGACTTCGAACACTATCTCAAAATCGCCCAGAAGAATCGGATGGTCGCCGCCACCGATTTCAACGAGCACAGTTCGAGGTCTCACGCCATCACTAAAATTTATCTGATAGGCAAAAATCAGTCGGGGGAGTACTACGCCGGTTCGATAAATTTGGTAGATTTGGCGGGATCGGAATCTGCTAAAACGAGCCACGGCGAACGTTTAGTGGAAACTAAAGCGATTAACAAAAGTTTGTCTAATTTAGGGAAAGTGATGCTTTCGTTATGCAATAAAGAAAAGCACATACCGTACCGCAATTCAAAATTAACGTATCTACTGCAATCATGTTTGGGGGGAAATTCGAAAACTTTGATGATTGTTAATATATCGCCTTTCGAGGAAAATTATGGCGAAAGCATAAATTCTCTTCGTTTCGCATCGATGGTGAAGGAGGTTAAAACGAAAAGTAAAAAAGTTAGAGCTCTCGCTCCCATTGAGTGTAATAATTAAATTGTATCTATTATATGAGGGGATTAAAATTGGATTGGTGTGTGTTGATTAATCGATTAGACTTCAATTTCAAACCAAAGGTATTTTTTATTTGACTTCCAATTTGCCTGTGCAAGGTGAATTGAAAATTGCACCGTTCTAACCCCTTTATATGCTTATTAATTTAATTTTCAATAGCAATCAAAGTTTACTCAATAGAATTTGGATTGTAAATTTTATCAAGTAAACTTTTATCGACTGGTACGATTCAGCATATATTGGTTATTATTCTAATTATAATATTTTCGTTTAAGTGTACTAACGTTTTTTTATGTGTCTGCTACAGAAATCACAAATCAGTATATTTCTCTCAAACCTACTTCGTATAATCAATTCATTTAATTAATCTTTCAATTGTGATTTTTGTAAAAACGGATGTTCATTTCGCATCGATGGTTCAGAAAATCAAAACGAAAAGTTAAAAAGTTCTTGTTCCTATTAAATTTACATTAAAGTTATAGACTATTTGTAATTTAATACTGAAAATCGATGTATTCTCAACATTTTATTGAGTAAACTAAAACCATTTCTTCAGGAATTATGGAACTTTATCATAATCTCTATTCGTTTAATTCTCTTTGCTTTACATCGATGGTGTGAAAAACAACAGATCTCTTGCGAGTGTAATAATAATTAAATTGTATTATATATTATGTTTATTAATATAATTGTAAATATGTGTAATATTTTCTAAATTTTATTGAGTAAACTTTTATATATCATAACCACTTTTTTTAATTAACGAATGTTCAATTTTAATTGCTATTGAAACAGTAGGGATACGATATTTGAATTTTTTGAGGTAATTGCCCTTCCCTATAATTAATACAGCCACGTTGGCATTTAAAATTTTCATCGAAAAGAAGAAACAATGAGGTTACGTTTGTTTATAGTTTATGTAGGGGTTATGTTAATTTACTTTTAAAAAAATACATAACTTATGATAAAATACATCACTATCACTATCACGAGAAACCTATCGAATATAAAGACTGGTTATTCCATTACATTCCTTTAGTATTAATTAAGAACTTTCAGTATTAAGAATTCCAGCCAACAATGTCTGCTAAAACAGGAAAAGTTCATTCGACTGTGTATGTTGTATTCGTTTCGTTGTTATTAGATTTATTAGCGTTTACCATGATCCTTCCTCTCTTGCCTTCCTTGTTAGATCATTATAAAGAAAACGACAGTAATGGCTTGTATCACTGGCTCTCCGGTAATATTCGAGACTTTCAGTTACTGGTCGGAGCTCCGGAAAGATTCAACTCGGTCCTACTCGGAGGTTTCTTGGGCTCCTTGTTCAGTTTTCTGCAATTTCTCGCGGCGCCCGTGTTTGGTGGCATGTCAGATGTTATGGGACGAAAGAAAGTTATGATTATTTGCCTAGTAAGTAATTATTATACATTATCGTACCTCGATAGTAGTGTTTTAACTTTGCAGGTAGGTATATCGGCTTCGTACGTTTTATGGGCGTTGTCTAAAAATTTGGTGATATTTATCATTGCGAGATTCCTGGGCGGCATTAGCAAGGGAAATGTTTCTTTAAGTATGGCAATAATTGCAGATGTTTCGAGTAATGAGACTCGGAATAAAGGCATGGTGAGTAGTGGGTAGATAAATGTTATGTAATTTAGTTATAATTTATTCATTTTTTTAGGCGTTAGTAGGAATTGCTTTTTCGTTAGGTTTTATCGTTGGGCCCTTGATCGGTGCAATTTTTGCTATTTGGGCCAAGCAACGATCTGACGAGTGGTTCGTGGTACCTGCACTTTTTGCTTTATTTCTGTCGCTGGTTGATATGGTTTTTTTCATCACTTACTTCAAGGAAACATTACCTAAGGTAACGCACCTGACAACATTTCAACCAACTTTTAGTACAATAAGTACTTTTCAGGAAAAGCGTGCCAAAATGAAAATGACATTCAAGAAAATTAGAGAACTGATAAACGTCCGGGATTTATTCCAGTTTACCGCTGTTACGGGCGTTGCGCCACAAAACAAGAAAATGTTACGTTTGTTGGGATTAGTTTATTTCGTTTATTTGTTCATATACAGCGGTTTGGAGTTCACTCTTACTTTCTTGACACATCACATGTTCAACTACACCGCAATGCAACAAGGATGGATGTTTTTTGTTATAGGTACGTAGTTGAATCAAAATCGCGTTAAAAATATTTAATCCGAATCGTTTTTAGGACTTATAATGGCTGTTATACAAGGTACTTACGTGAGAAAAATACACCCAAGCCAAACAAACGTAACTGCTGTACGAGGCTTGTGGTTGATCATTCCTTCATTTGTGTGCGTTGGAATTGCCTTCGAATTCTTTTTGTTCTATTTTGGGTTGTTACTTTTTTCTGTTTGTAAGTACCATCTTTAAATTCATGTAGTCATTTTCATTAAGTTTGTATTTTTTTGTAGCAACTGCTTTGGTGCATCCAAGTATTATGACAATGGCTTCCGAATACGGTACTGAACAGCAGAAAGGTACTGTTATGGGAATATTTAGATCTCTGGGAGCGCTAGCGAGGGCTTCGGGCCCGATTTTTGCGAGCATTGCATTTTGGAGCGTTGGCTCCAGGATTACTTACATCACAGGATCAGTATTATTGCTATGGCCTGCATTTACTCTAAGTAAATTAAAATAATTTATACAATTTAACATATTTTTTTATAAATATATTTTTACAAATAAATTTATATATACATACACATACGTAGGTATATTATTACGTATGTGCAATTGAAATTTTTTTTTCACAATTTATTCAGTGCTGATAAGGATTTGTTTGAGTGGGTCTAATAAGTAAGAAATTAGGAAACTAATAGTTTATTCGTTGGTAACATGAGTTGGATAACATGAAAATGCGTTTTGAAAATATATGTAATGCGAAAGAATCAATAACAGGCTTATAACTATGCAGATATACATATATATTTTTGTATATTTCGGGGTAAGTTTATAATAAATCATGTATGCTTATAAAACTGTGAAATCGCAGAAACTTCTAATAGTTTAACAATTTGGACCTCTGAATAAATATTTCCTTACATATACTGCCTAAGGTGCACCATACACTATCACACCAGTATATTCACTGATTTTTTAGTCATTATCAAGCATCTCTTATAATATTTACATGTTTTCTTATCCACGAAATATCACATGGGGCTAGAACGGTAAATCAATATAAATTTTTTCATGCATTAGACATTTCTTCTACCTAACAATATAACAAGTATGATCTCTAAATTATAATCATTTTTTTAATGGAACTTACACCTAAAAATCATGGAATTGAAATGAGTTTGTAGGGTATCGGGCGATGGTGTTAAATTCAGCAAAGTACACGAACTACGTAACAACAATACATTTAATAACCCGAAAAATTCAAGCTCTCGATTCGATTATATTCGAATAATGCCTCAATTCTACGCTAATTACAGTAAATCTCTGTCAAAACTATAGAGGATTTCGGAAATATTTTAATCATGGTTTACTTTAAGATGCGTAGAATGAAACATCTGTCACAGTAATTTCTATAAAATAATTTATCTTAGTCTTAGGGAAGACTGAATGTTGAATTTTTTAATTCCCGAATCGAGAACGAGCATTTTTCAAGCTGAATTTCGCCATTCAAATTTTCAACGAAAAACGAATCAATTTTTTAGAATCTCATCTTTCACGAATTTTTCAATTTCTTTAGCTCTTAATCTAAGTCGAAAACTAAGTCATTTCGAGTAAATGAATTAATAGAACTACTATTTTCTTTGGATAAGAAATATGTGTAGGAAATACAAGAAATTCCAGGATTTAAGAAACGACAAAATTGAAACTTGGCTAAATGGTAGGTAATTAATAATGATAATTGCAAAGACTACAAAATAATATCTCAGTGGTATGTGTATGTAGTTATTGGTACCTGGTAAATTCTGCATTCTGGTTGTTCTTTATCTTGAAAAATCGTTCATTAATTCTTTATGAAACTTTATGCTAAAATCGTTAATAAAAATGCAATATTAATCCGAATTGTCCATACAAATTCATCGATTACTTCGAAAACCATGTTATTTTTTTACAGAAGTCATTTTGTTGAATGTAGATTTGTGGGGAAATTTCGCTAAAAAAGTGCCATTTCGTTACAATCCGTAGTTTCTGCGTAAAATCTATTCAGTTTCGAAATATTTTTAAACCTGATCCGGTCGCGTTGTGGTAAAATCTACATTCATCATTTATTCCTTAAATATTTTATTTATATAAATATATATACCTACCTAAATGTCGGTTTAATTTGTGTGTATATTATGAATGTGCTTTTGTTGAAAATGGATTAAAACAATCATATTTCCCGTTAATAAATATTCCGCTTAATTTCACTTGAATTATCATATAATATGCAAATTAAAATTTGTCCGTTCATCTCCTCTTACCACTATACAATACATTCGTGTCAGTTACACGCGAGGGAAGATGAACGAGGAAGTTTGTTCTGTTAAATCTGATGCCGCTATTTTTAATTTGGCACTTTTTGGTAGTTCTTTTATTACTTATAATTGGTGTTTGTAATACTGTAGGTACTTTCATAATTTCTTGTAAAAATTTTACAAAATAAAAACGATTTTAGAATCCCGTTATGAAACTAGCTCGAATACAAATCAACAAGAATATGATTGCTTGTTGGAAATAGGCGATAAATCTAATAAATCTAACGTGACTCTGTTAAACTTTTCGACTAATACTGTATAAGTATTTAAGGCTCTAAAATTTATTATAATTGGAAAACGTGGAATCGCCTTGGTCGTTCGAAAAGAGTATAAATTGCATTTTTTTTAAGTAATTATGTCAAATTTCCTCGCGGTTTTTGGTTACAAATGTTGGCACGTGAAACTCTAATTTACACGTTACAATACTCGCTACGGTTAAAAATTTTATTTGATTATTTACTTTTGTAGATTACTTTAGCTTAAATTTATCGGAAATATGAGGTAGATGAATTTCGTTTTGGTTACGCGAAGGGTTTAAAGCTCTTTAGGCACGTATTAACAGTTGAAAAGTCAATAATTCAAAATGCCATTTAGCATCAACTTCTTCTATGTAAGTTAAATGGTCCTCGAATGTTTGTTTAAAATTCTTAAATTCAAGTAAACCTACAACTATTTATTTACACTTTGGCAGCGCTTCTACGGCTATTTCATACGCGCGTGTTGGTTTTTCAGTAAATTTTTGAGGCAAGCGAAATAAATTGATCTAGCAGATTTATCAGATATTGACTCGACTTGGATAAAATAAAGTGATGTGTACCAAACTACGTTAAAAATAACCTATTAGTACCGGCACTGAACACTTTTTGTTTCCGTTGTTTTGGTTTATCTGCTCGCATCCTCAAAAAAAGTGTATAATATTGTAGATCTTTCAACTTTCATCTACGATAATTGAGTATACATAATTAGATCTTATGAGAATTCACGATATAAAAATTGTTTTTACAAAGTATCGGCGAACATAATGCACCCCTAATAATTTAATACCGGGCGACTACGATTGAGATTTTTTTTAATTAGAAATTTCATTTAATTAGAAACAATTTCTACTCTTAAAAACTGAACCATCTCATGGCAAATTTCTGAAAAAAATATTACACATACTGCTAATAAAGGAATGCATTACCTTCGAATCCACCCTGCAATATTCATCAAAAAAGTATTTTCAATATTATTGTATTAGCTTTAGGTCATTGAAAATTTAGGAAATTTTTCGTTGTATACACAATCTATTCGGTAACAAATCAAAAAAAATGCAATTTATGAGTAAACGCTGGCTCGTCCACGAGTTCCAGTTAAATTTTACATATTATAATTAACTCAACTTTGTCCCGTCGTTGGTGGAATGCAAGATTTTCCTAACGCAGCCGGTCCTGGCCAAGGACAAGCGGGAGGAACGCTCCGCGCCTGCTGCAAGCCAGCAGCCGCATCTGGATGGAGGAAATTCCTCCTTTGCTCCATTTTCTCTTGCTGAAATAAGGCCCCGCATTCAATCGGTACTCACCCAGCGAGCCTAAAGAAACTTACTTGGGTTTGAATCCTATTTGCTATTAACTCAGGTAGTAGATCTAGCTGTTCTTGCAGTGCTAATAATTTTTCCTCCATAGTCGTTAATCTATCTTCTAAGCTATCTTGCCTTGTGCTCATGTCTGATACTATTTCATATACAGTATTTTGCGTCTGAAACAGAAATCAACGATGTGACTAAGATAGATAATTGATGAATTCGTTACCTTTGCCATATCTGTAATAGTATTGGCATTGTCCATTAATTTACGTTGGTCCATTTTAACTTTTCTTAACCTGCAAAAAGAGGTGTCCGATAGTAGAAATTTTCCCGCTGAATTTTTCGTCAGGAAATGTACGAAAAGCGAAATTTTAATATCGCGATTTTTTAGTCGGATGATTCTGTTATGAGCGTTGCATTCGAAATATCTTGCTCGTTCATAATTCAAAGGGACCTTTGAAGTCTTTATGATCCCTATTTCTTCTTCAGAACTTCTGTATACTTAGTGTTTTTTGTTCCGGATTAGATTAGAAAAAGTTTGGCGCGCACGGAATTGATTAAGAAAGCCGATTTTGCATAAAATTCCAAAATTTGCATCAAATAATTAATCATAAGCATAAAGGTACTTACGCGTAAATAGCAAGTAAAAATTTTCTTTGGTGAGTTCTAACTCTACCTGGGTTAACTCTTTTCACTAGCCTTGTATGTTTGTATATTAACCAGGTTTCACGTAGGACATTTGCAGCTGCATTTTTTAACTGAAGCAAAACTCGTTCGTAATCAAATCAATTTATATCAGCGATTCAACGTACCCGTTTCGTCAACTGCGTGTCCATCATAAAATTATGTACATGTTTTTCCGCTCTAGTTAACTCTAATTTTCTTGATACTACCGCTACTAATAAGGCTGTACAACCGGCTCCCTGGAAGAAAATGTCCAAATGGCAAACACGGCTAGGCATCACGCGAAATTTTCCCCACTTACCATGATACCTGTACTGACCGCGATGCCTCGACCGCAGTACGTATTCGGCACGATGTCTCCGAAGCCGACGCTCAGGAAGGTGATGGCGATCAGCCACATGGCGTTGAGGAGATTAGCGTGTTCCTCGTCGTGGAACCTACACCAATTCATCATAAATTACGATTCGTGGTGCTGGACGTTCGCATTGTATATTTACCGTTCGCATTGCCTCAACGTCCAACTAGCTATGATCCACAGGGAGACCATGAAGACGAGCAGCACCGTGCCCGGACAGATGGTCATGAGAGTCTTTAAAACGAACCTAGTGTTAAAATTAATGCGATTGAGCGCGCCGATGCTTCGCGAGGAAGCGTCCGTGAACAGTTTGCTGTGCAACAGCATCACCCTGCAGATGAGGTAGAGCCGCAGGAACATCGGCAGCGACAGCGGCACGTCGTACGGCACGCACTTCCTTCCGATACCGCCGTTTTTGTTAGCGAGCTTCGTCGTCCACACGAACAAATAGTGACCCGGTATCGGATGCACGGCACATATTATTAGCTCCATGGTGATCTGGCTGATCCGCTGCCATGTCATCGCGATCCGCCAGTCGTCCGCGCAGTTATCTATCATAAACAGCTGGGGAACGAACAGATCAGTTAAGGAGGGTGCTGCCTGGTCGATTGGTGGGTATGATGAATCTTACCTGTACTTCTAATGCATGGTAGGCCACGATGAGACCCAAAAGAATCACAGTCGAAACGGATATCAAAGTTTTGAGCGCAATTGAATAAAATTCGTCCTGAAATGGAAATGTCTACATTGATTATGTTTGTCTCGACATTTCTAAGGGTCGGTTCATACGCTGCCATTCGTTTTACCTTACGATAAACGCCGGCACTGGACAGTTCGTTTTCTATAACCATCACAATGATACCAAACATCCCCATAACCAAGGCATAATCGCTAATTCTCTTTCGCTTTTCGAATAGCGCTTTGCGGCGTCCCAGTCTATATCCTACGTTAGGTTTGTGTTTTAAACTTCCGGAAGAAGGGCCTTTGTATCCCGTGCTCAATCCTCTCTCCTCCATGAACCTAACGAACATCTAACGTCAGAAATCGCAACTACGAATACAAAATTCTTCGTAAATAGGTAATAAAATAATGACCACCTTGGATAATCCATGTGCCCTTGCATCGCCATTCCCTGGTCATCCTGCGCCATTTTGCCGCCTCCTGAGTCCCGGCTGGAGTTTTTCACGGCGCCCGGTATGGAAAGCGTCGAGACCGGCTTCCGCAACTGCAAACGAAAAGTTTTGTGTTCGACATAAAAACGTTTTGTCTTCCGATTCCGCTTTCCACATGTCTTTGTTTGTATCTACAGAGGCTTGTGTGTCAATACGAATGCTTTCTGTTAAAAAAAAAGAAGCTTGGAGATGTACGTACTTACTTATCGATGTTCGCGCTGGTTGCGGGGCGGGTAAACGGGGGGACAAACTACCGGGGGATTTTGGGGTTGCGACGGGCTCTGAAGCTCGAAATTCCAAGCTTCTCCCTTTTTGTAAGCGCCCAAACCAAAGTGTGTGGCGTGTGTTCTAAAAGTACTATTTTTTTTTTGTTTCGACCTTAGCGCAACTACTTTAGAGCAAAAGGGTCGGAATCCTCAAGCTATAACTCTAAAAGGGTCGGTTATTGAATTTTCGTTGGAACGTTTTTGAGTGGTAGATAATTTAAGTTTCTGGGAGAATGGAACTGAAAAGTATCAAAAGTTTTATGGATCAGTAAAACAAGCAAGTGTTCCATTAAGTCCAAAATCTTCCAGATACGAACCCAACTGGGTTGATTTTGTGTTGTTTTATCAAACAATTCGTGTACATCTTGCGACTGAAAAGTAGGGAAAACTAGTACAAAAATTCACAAATTCATCGCTTTTTTGATGGTAGAAATAGAGTAGATTTCGCGAAATTTCGAGACACAATAATTCCTTTCAGTACTTTGCTGCAATTCTAGGACAGTACAAAAGAAAAAAAAACAATGATGGAAATAAGAGCAAGTCCGGGTGAGGAGGAAAGTTAGTGAATAACTGAATAAAAAAGTGAATTTCGACACTAGTAGTAATAGGTCTTCAGTATCCTCACTTTTTGGTCGCTGGATGTGTTTAGTGAAGTAAACGTGATTAGCAGATCTCTACGAGATCAAGGGAATAAGTTAGTATTAACACAAATAACGCAAGTACGCCTAAATATTGACAGGAATTCACGCGGAGGCAGTTTTGTTAATACTAACTCAAATTATCCTCATGCTTTTGTGCTTGGTGCTCTACAAGGTTCAAATTAAGGAACATTCGAATAGCGTTTGTATTTTTAATCACTATGTTTATATTTCGTAAACAACGAGAAGACGAGAAATTCAATTTGTTCTCTTTGTAATAGTCAAAAATTATGTGTAATTTTTAAGTTTACTCATGCACAATTTAGCCAAACTTGCACATAAATGTTGGAGCTGTGAAATTTATCGCCCTTGTCCGTTGCTATAAAATAAATTTATTTCGAATTTTTGAATAGATTAACGTTCGGCGGTCGAAATGTATCATTTTTTGTATCAGATCTCTTATCTTCTCGTCCATTCATGCGAAATATATTAGCGTTCGTGCTTATTTTTAGGCAACATTTCCTTAATTTTGCAATTTCTAGTACTTCACTTAACCTCAAATGAATTCTCGAAAGAAACGTAAACATGCCAAGAGAAGGAAAATCCTCTAGATGTACAGAAAATTCGAAAAGCTCTATTATTTAGCGTACCTATAGAAGAGTCACCGGAGGCAATTGAATAGGAACGAAAAGTTAATAAATTTGTAGCGATTGTGTTGATAGGAATCATTTTTAATTATAGTCGGCTTTTAATCGATTTTCAATATTTAAATTTGAATTCGTTTCGTATTCCTAAGTTTGTGTTGTATATAACGTAAACACTTCACGTAAATATTTTTGATGTACTCATTGTTAGAGCTTTCATACTAAACTTATCCTGCAATTGAATTGAGGGAAAGATAATATTTACATAGTTGTTTTTTGTTCAACAACCTACAAGAAAAAGTAAATTTTCTTATGTGTATTCTTCAATTTCTTTAATTCAATTTATATAGTAAGTAGATACAAAATTGGACAATAGATAATAAGTATAAATGTAGGTACGTTTATTGATCAATATGATTTATTTTTAGATGTGTTTGAAATTTCATGATCAAGATTCAACAATATCAAAATTTATGTTGGAATGCACTAGAAAATAAAGTGTTTGTAACTTGGCAATAACGAAGATAAATCTGTTGGGCAAGGCAGTAGAAATGTATTTAAAATGTGAAAAAGGAAGAAAAAAGAACTGCTTGTGCACTTAAGGAGTCTTGAGATTATGTAGGAAACTTATCTCTAACTATACAGGGTGCTTCATAATAGTCCTTTTAGGGATATAATTAAGTGCAGGATTTTGAGAAAAAATACATAATTAATAACTGAATTATGTAAGTATAAAAAGTTATTAGTGATTATCATGGCAAATTTAGGAACATGTTTTTTCACATGCACAGTGCTTGGATTTTAATAAGGCAATTGCTTTGTTTTCTACAGAATAAACAATAAACAGGGTGATCGATTAGTGTAACAAATCTTTAGCTATCACAAAAAGAAGAGATCAAAAATAGTTATTTACGAAATTTTGTCGCGTATTTAAAAATTGTATGTAGCCCGCAGTTAAATCAAAAATATACGTTTTTTTTTGTAAAAAATCACTTTACTTTATAAAGCAGAATAGCGAACGCAAACGAGACGATTTGAGGTTAAGTGAATCATTTAAAAAGCTTCAAATTTTAGTCTAGAAAGTCAAAAGGACTCTAAAGTTTTCCAACCGTTTTCACATAGGACACAGTATCGCTGGTTACTTCCGTGAGGGCGCGCTTGAGTCGAGTTCGACGTGCCTGCGCCATAGTTTGTGTAGAACACAGCAAACCAGAACCCTACATAGATAGTACTAGATAAGTGAAGTGAAGGGATTCTTTTTTCAATCCAGTGTTGCCAGGTGAAAGAAATGAAAATCCCATGATTGTACTCATCAAAAAACAACCTAAATCTCCAAATAATTTACGATACAAATTTCTTACTCATACTCACTCTGTACTCAAATTCCTTAGATCGCCAGATCTGGTGAATTTTTCCCAGACCTGACAACACTGCTTTTTAAACCCTTTAATTCATTTAATCTTTAATCATTACACAGAATAATTATACAGTAAAGTGCGTTATTCCGTTCCTTTATTTTAAATACGCCGTCGTAAAGAACGTAGATTATAGCACATGTGAAGAAAATTGCAATAAAAACATGCACTAAAAGTTAAATTATGGAGAAGCGTATCCGCAGCAGCGATGATAGAAAATGTGGTATCGCTAAGTATACAAAGAAGAAACTTCAATATATTCTGGTTAAAAGTGTTGCTCTACAGAACTAAAATATTATTATTATACAAAATCCTTTAAAATCCTGGTACTCGCCAGCGAAATTAAAGACTTTGTTTTTCATACAACACATAAAGTCCAATTAATACACTCATTTCTATTAGTAGGAATAGTACCAGTTAAAACTCTGGTTAGTGCAATGAGAAACTCTAGATAAGTAAAAAAACGGTGATTGAAATAAATGATTTGATTCAAAGGTGACGACAACGAGAAATAGGAAAAGGAAAAATGGATCGATAAAACTATTAAATTTGCAACCCGCAATGTAAGAGGGCTAGTGTTAAAGAAGATAAAGTTGACAAATAAAATTTACTCGGTGCTTCCGTTCCGATTCTTTAATCTAGGTCGGAGAAACTTGTTTAATTTAAGTATGTATTTATACTAAATTCATGGAGCTTGTGAATAAAGGGAATTTAGGAGCATAGAATATAGTTTGGCTATTGATTTTCCCCGCTTGTAAAGCGTATTTTACGTTTTCCGCGTAAGCTCTCTATTCGAAATGCGACGTCTTATTCCTTCGGAAAAATCTATCCCGATAGAAAGGTTTTTCCGAAACTTCTCCGCCAGAAATGAGTAAAGAATAACTTTCGAGGGATATGCGAAATGCTAATTGAAAAAGGATTTCCTCTCTATTTCCCAAACACACGTCTCGAGATTTCGCCGAAATTTTTTAATACAGTTTCCAGGTAATTTTGCCCGAAGGAAACCTCCATAAAATTTTATTATAACTTATCATTTAATATTAGGCAGTAAAATATAATAATGCATTAAACGGATAATAACTGACTGAAGCTTGAGTGGAAACCGTAAAAATATTTCCGATATTTTCGACACTCGAGGTAGAAAATTATTTTAGAACCTATAAATATATTATTGGATTTTTTCCATCCTGAACTTCTGCTTTTACACAAGTTTATTACGTAACGTTTAATATTTAACTGTCTCTGTACTGATTAATGTTTTGTGTTATCAAATAGTCAATTACAAATTCATTCAGTTGAATGTGCGTAACGTTGAATTATTTGTATAAACCGGGTAAGTGTGCAATTTCCGCGAGTTTTCTCGGAAAAGCAACATTTTCCTCACATAACAGGTAAATAGCTATTTTCATCTCTTTATATGACGAATCTTTACTAAATCGGAATGAATTAATAAACGAAACGTTTAGGTCGTGAATTATTTGTTCGGAACAAAATTCATCTGGAAAAGAAAGAAAATAACCACCGTATAATCTACACCTATTACTTACCCGGTCTATTATAAAAATCTCGAATCGATTACCCACTATCAATAAATCGATTAAAAACATTCGTTGTGTTGATAAGTGTTTTAATAGAAGTGATAATGGTGTCTTAAAATATTCGTCGATTGCGTTCAGACAATGAGATCCTTTTACAACAAAAAACGAAACTCTCTTATTTCATTATTTCAAATGTATTATTCAAATCGCCTCCGCCGGCGGTTCCAGTTGACCAATTTACAAAAAAAATACGAGAGCAGCAGAAACAGAAAGCGTGGAAATGAAATTTTCCCCGAATATAATTCTAATACTGCGCGAGTAAATTGGCATTAAAATCGACAAAATTTCAATGGAATTCTGATGAAGATCCCCTCCTAATGATCCAGTCCCTTTCCGATACAGAAGCTCTACAGAACCGCTCGTGCACCCTCACGCGCGAAATTGCTATTGAACTCGAAGTGAAACTTCCCAAGCGAATGCTATAAAGCTTTCGCCGGATACAGTTTTCCTCCTCGATATATTTTTTTCGATTGCGCGAAACTTTTACGATTCGAACCGCTATTTTCCCGAATCCGCCGTACTTAGAAACGTCCGCTACCAGTGCTCGAATTCAAAGGTACATAGCCGGAGTTTCACTTCCTCGAACAGAGTTTCGTTTTCGTTCGTTTCTTGTCCCATACCTGGCGGAAATTCCGCATGGCGCCGTTGATTCTGAGCGAATCGGCGGCGATGCCGGCGATTCCGTCGCCGTGGTCCCGGAGCTGCCTGAGGGACGTCGACGCCGAGGTGCCGTGCACGCAGTTCGAGCCGCAGCACGGTGCCGACGCCTCCGGCTGCGAGCTCTGCCTGATTATCCTGGTGGTGACGACGGAGGGCGTCGTCGACGGGCAGGAGCTGCAGGACACCTGGAAATCAACCAACAACCGAGTGCTCGTAAGTCGAGTGGTTGGATTTTACACCAAATTCGTCGCTTGGAATTGGTTAAACAACTTTCTAAAATAGAGTGAGTCGAAAGACGAGAAAGACAGTGCAGGAGTTAGAGGTGAATGTAGAAGAGAGTTTAGAAGATCACAAGCAGTACAGATACAGTTACATTTACATTTACAATTACATTGACGCTGTGTTAGGTTTTGCGTTTTTTTTTTTCGCTTTTTCGACAATTGCTATAAGCACATTTATTCGTGATATTCTATACTAAATTGTAGACAATTTTTACAATGTAAAGAGCTCATCGCATTATCGTACTCTCTAAAATAACGGCGTTGCGAAAATAGTCGTTTAAGCGGTGGTATTTTCCTTTTATGATGTTTTGTTTAAGGTTTTTTCCATAAAAATTAACGGCTTTTTAGGCACTTAACTAACTAGGTACAGTAATTTTAAACGTCATATCGCAGCATAAACACTGCAACTCCAATGTTAAGGCTGCTAAAGTAAACTAAAATATGAATATTCACCCTTTCAACGACGTTACTGAATATTTAACCGCTTTCATAAAAACTATACAATGAAATTGTTTTCTGTCTGTTAAAAACGCAAAAATTTAACACATACTATGGTGTACGAATTTTATAAAAAAAACTCCATAACTCCCTCATTGATGGAAATTCATAAAATCTGCCAAAATAAAAAATAAACGAGGAAGTTAATGAATTTTTCATAAAATTAGTTCACCCTACATACCATTAATAAATCTAAGTTACAATTTTTAATTTGTTATTATTAATATGTTACATTTCGTTTATTTATTTAGTTTTAATTACTCTAGCACTACGTGTAGTAGAAAACAGAAGTGAGGATGTTACAAATTATCGACTAAGAAAAATGAAAAGTAATTCTATCTAAATCTATATAAATGGTGTTGTGGGTCTAGTTAACATAATTTACTTACTAATTGTGCAAAATTGTTACAGTATTCACTACATATGTATTATATAGACTTATTTTTATAAATATTTGTTTTATTTTACCCACCTATTTAAGAACCTATGCAATCGTAAATATTCCTGCTATTTTGGTATAAATATGTTAAAGATTGTTCATAATGTATAAAAAGGTTTTTATTAAGAGATTACTAGTGTAATAAATTTAATTCTCCAAAAGTCATAGTAAAATAAGTTTTAATTTAGATAAAATCTAGTTTATATCATTTGTGTGGGACATTCTGCATAGCCATTTTAATTTTCTAAACGGTCGCAGCGTTACAAATTAAAGTAAAATGTTGTATTTGCAGTTGAAATTATTTCCCTGGACAGGGAAGGGAGTTAATTAAATAATTTAAAAATTCTAATTAAAGTTTACGGCAATTTCTCTTTTATAAATAAACACGAAAGCGCCTGCGAGTGTTTGCACGGGAAGCGCAGGATTTTTTTTCAACCGCGGAACAACCGAAATTTTTCCATCACAATTCAGACACACTCGAACAGGAAAAAAGCACATTCGAAGAACTCGAACTCGCATTACTCCAACGGCCGATCCGAATGGAAAACCTCCTTCGAACTCGCCACAATTTCGAACGCCCTCTTTTTATTAAAACAGATTAAATTCACACGCGGAATACTAATACGGCCGGCCGATGGATTTGTCATGCAGAATTCACAACGGCCGTAGCGGAATCCGCCGCCCGTGCACCGGATAATGTATTTCCCTATTTGCGAAACCATGTTTTTTGGCCCCGGAGCGTCACGGAATGACCCGCTTCCTCGGCGTGGGCCCCCCGACCTTTCCGAAGCGTACGTTTCGGAAACGTTTAGACATCGATCAAACGGTTCCTCTTACCACCCCTTTTCGCTCCGCATGTAGGTAAGTAGACATCGAATTTTGCATTCCACGCGAACGATCTAAATCAACGCAAAACGCAAACTCTTTGATAAACACTTTTTAGCCCTCAGTCAATAAAACAGGGGAATCCCACGTGCTGGCGGGATCGCTGGAACTTCTCGATTACGTCCTTTCTTATATACAGATTGTCCTGCTACATATCGCATTTGTGGCTTTTTTATTTCTTATTGTCTTATCTTAGTGCCATTTTTATTGATGTTTTTCAAATGTATTTTCCACTATATCTTCATTAATAATGCTTCCACAAGTTTGAAATTTGGTACTAAATGGATCAGAAATAAGTTTTCATTGCCCATTTACAGGGCGATCAAAATCCTCTTACTAACTTTGGCAACTTAAAGTGACCATAATTTTGTTATTCAAATGGATCACCCCGAACTTTTTAAAACCCCTTTTAAGTACTATTATTTTTGGTACTTACCGCTTTAATTCTTATTAGATTGATTGTTTGACATTAACCCTGCGGTTGAAACAAGACTCACTAAAGCTCGTGGAAAAGGGCGAGGCTTTCGGTCGCATATTTGTAATTAATCGACTTGCTATTATGTAATTGGATTTTGTTATTTTATATTCAGCGAATGTATTTGAAATGTGTCCACCGCACATCTTCGCACTTCGCACAACGTGACGTCGGTTTATCAGAGCTAACGTAGGAAATTTATTTAGAAAACGTGGGTTGCTCAAATGTGACAAGCACCGCTTTGTTTCACTCAAAACTTTTTTATTTAATTAATAATCCCACTTAGAAAATGCATAATAGGCATTAGTTGTACATTGCGGTTTTTATAAATCGAAACTCGAAAAAACTATACATTCACGCCCACGAGGTCGCGGAATAAAAATAAGTCATTTCCAGGCCATGTCTGTCCGAGTGTGTTATCGTAGCCATTAATACCGCTTTGCCAGCACAATAACTCAAATAAACCTCCCTAAACGAGGAAATATAAGGGAAGAAGAGCATTAATGATGGTGTATTATTTTATAAATTCATCACAAGCGATATAAACGTCCACCGAGTCACGTACGATGACGTTGAACAGAACGGAATAAAAAGTTTTTGACGAACAAACTCCCTCATGCATACAACTCGATTGAATCCTGCATAAAGTTTTTAAACCCGAATCATAATGCATATGAGAAAAATTATTAATATTGCCCACATTCTCGGAGCGAAACTATTTCATTTCGAGCAGATCGGGCCATCTGAACTTTACCAGTTCCCAAGCAAAACTTTTTATCTGAGACGTTAAAATAGAAAATGGAGAGGAATTTAAAGTTTTCCAGGGGGCTTGCAAGGCGCGCTTTGTGCAAAGGACAGGTCTATAAAAGTTACCTAGCGATAAGGGAATTTGATTAGCGAAGAATAATGATTTTATTTGTAAGTGGATGCCCAAATTGATGCAGCTATTAGCAGGGCGCAGATAGGCGAAACCAAAGAGGACGCCCGCTAACGGAATGGGTTTTTAAAATGGCTTTTTGCGACACGATTCCGAATTGAATTTAATCTAGCCGATGGCGGTCTTGTGGAATAAGGAAAGGGCCGGGCGACCTGAGCAAACCTGTTTTAATAATAAACGATCCGATTTGCTCTGGAAATGACTTCGGTGCCAGTTCTGTAAAATATTATGAACGGCTTTCCTGCAATGTAGCGGTCATTCCGTTACGGGAAAAATGGCGAGCCGCTTCGTAAATCAATTCTAAAAACAGGTCATCTGTGCTCTATTAAATTATATTCCCATATTTTTATTGCAAACAGAAAATCGTGGTGTAATAAAATCTCGAGTTTTTTTTTTAGAAATCGATCGTGGAATAAACGATTCGATTTCGTTAAATGGTTTTAAATGACTTAAAAAAAAACAAATTGCAGGATTATTTAATTACCGACATATTACACACTAAAAAAAGTATTCTGATTTCAAAAATTTGTATTTATTTAAAATGTTAAGCAATCGTCTTATTTTCTTCAAATAAATATACTTAAATCAAACTACAGTAAAATGACAACCCAAGAATTTAGTTTTCTTAAAAATTTACTTGAACCAAAACAGTAATATTTGACAAAAATCATTAATCTATTTTGTTCAAATATTTTACTGTATTGTCATAAACTCGAAAGTTTATTTAAAATAAATAAAAGTAAATTTGAATTGAGTAATTCGTTATTTTTATCAAAGAACTCTTTGAACCTACTTCTATTAAAAAGTTAGTATCTTCATGGAAAAAATAAAAAATGCATACTTGTACAAAACAATTCAGATTTTTATGAATAAGATACATATGTAGTATGGAAAAATAATTGTAGATTATCTTATTTAACTGGAAAAATGTACAGAATGAATCAATTTTAATGAGCTAAACTAGGCAATTAATGAGTAAAAGGTAGGTTCGGGTAATAAGGCCTATAGGATAATAATTAATAATTACCTAACGATGGACAGTGATAAACGCGATATTGTGTAAATAACTTTTATATATTTTATAATTATTGTATAATAATTTTTGATTGGTACATAATATATTTTTATATATTATACAGCGCTCGAACATGGACACTCTGTATAAGAATCTGGTAAATTAACGTTAATATTTTTTCCCTTTTTTAAAGTCCCTGGAAAATAATTTTTTTATTTACGACAGTAATTTTTTAAAATAAGTTATGATTCAGTCCATTCAGGTACATAGGTAGTTTAAAACTTATGTCAAATAAGTCATCTGAATGGAAAAATGATTTGCTGCACGAAAAAACTTTTTACGTTTTTTTTATTAATTTTCTGCAAAATATTTTAAATTTTCCGCGAGTCAAATCCAAGTACATCCAAACTATAAGTGACAACCCCTTAATCCTACTATACTAACTCGCTAACTCACTCTAACATACAAGCTCTGAAGGTCACAGCAGCAGCGTTCCGCTCCGCTAAGGTACTTCCAGCTCCCGAGCTCCCGCTACCCTCGGTTGGCAAATTCGGCATATTCCGTCAAATTCGCTAACGCTGATTCGCTCCGCGTTGAGCCGCGTTTCATGTTCCTGTTCCTGTTCTGTCCTGTTCTTTTACTTAACTGTTTCTTTATGCCTGGTTTTTGGACGTGTACGTGTGTGCATGTGCATATGCCGGTTGCAGGAGCAGGACGAATAAAATGGAGGAAGTTCTACAAGACCCTGAAGTCTCCAAAGTATTTCACGGTAAGTAATTATTCCTAATAAGCTCTATAGTGAAATAACTTTTAAATATCTAAGTGTCTAAGATTATTGCGTGGGTCTAATAGACTAAAATATGTACACCGCCATTGCGTAGAAAGCACGTGCAACCTTTTGCAATTTGCCAATTGTCCATCGTTAATATAGGAGAAAGTGATTAATCTGTTGTTTGACTACTTTATACATACATAATAAATACAATAGAATTCGAATAAAATTCGAATTTTCGAATAAAATTCTATATTCAAGAAGTATATTATATGTTTTCTTGATTCAAAGTAATCCAAGATTTGTTTGGTCAAAGTAACGAAATTCTTGGTTTAAGATTGTGGGGAGAGTACGATTTCCGTGGCGCCGCGATTTGACAACTTTTTTAGCTTAAATGAGCCAAAATAAAGCGAAAATAAAGAATAAAATTTTTTGATATCTCGCTTCGTTTTATTCTTGTAAATTCTTTGTAAAATTTACTCTTCATTTTCGCTTTATTTTGACTTAATTAAGCTGAAAATGTTGTCAAATCGCGGCGCCACGGATATTGTCAGATATTGCCAAGATTTTAGTAATATCTCAAATCAAGAATTATTCTACCGTTCGATTTTTTTAAGAAATAGTCGTAGATTTACCTCTAAAGAGTACCTACTTGATTATTTTGTAGATAATGAAATAACTATAGATTTGCTATCATCAGTCACTGATGAAATCCTACAAGAGCTGATACCTCTTGTAGGGCCAAGATTGAGGATAAAGAAAAGAATCGCCTCTTATTTGAATAGCCAGGTAAGTAATTTACTTTTTTTTCCATTTTTGGAATTACACAGGTTAGGTAAATAAACCACAATATTAAAAATTCCCGAAAGGGAATGATTGTTTTTTTCAATTTTTAATCACAATAAAAAATTGACTACAGGGTGGCTCACAGTGAAATAATTAGATTTTTCTAATTCATGATAAAAAATGTACAACTCTTTAAATTACTCTACTTTGTAGAAAGAAAATATTGAAAATCAGCTACCTGAATTACCTGAAAATGAAGCATCAAGCCATTCCACAGCCACTTCATTGAGCGAGATAGATTTTCTGTCAGAGACCTCGTTCGATTCATACTTTGGCGATAACATAGACAAAATCCTTTATAGGCCAAAGTTTGTCGATTTCGATTTAAAAACAATCCTTTTGACAACACCAATGGGGAACAGTATATTGAAATTTTACGAAGTAAATAACATGTTGGACAACACACGACGTGGAAGATTGGTGGACATTATTGTCAAGCATTTATACAAACATATTATTAATTAGTAAGAATTCTTGTATGAATTTTTTCGTGATTCATTTTCATTTTTATTTTAGTCGTTTTAACCACGATGAATACACCATATTATCGGCAAAGATCATTCAGCTATTTCCCACTGAAGTTACTGCGACATATTATGTTCAAAGCATTGCGAAAAGAAACTCAGCGAGTGGTAAACATGTTCTTGCTAAAGGACGTTTAGTGGACAAATGTAGAAATTTAATATTCAATTGTGGCGAAGCAGTACCTTTGAAAAGAAAAAGAAAGGCAGCTGAATCATCATCATCTGACACACCGGAAGGATCAAGCAGTACAGGTAGATAATAATTTATACATATACCCGCCAACCTGTATAATGCATATTGTGTACCTATAAATGCATTTTTTGTAGATTTGCAAACTAATGAAGATTATATATGGTTAATGTACAACTGTGAACCGTGGGATCAAGTCACTACAAAATGGAACTCTCTGTTTCCTCTAAGGTTGAAAATCAGTTACAAATCCGTTTCGGATTTTATTGATCAATGGCCGATTCTAAAAGATCTCAGAAGTGAGACATTGGTAAGTTTCTTGATTGTATTTGATGTTATTTCTTTTAAAACGGCAATTTAATAATTTTAGTTTGAAACTGACTTTTCCCGCATGTATCCCAATCATGAATTACATTTCTACCAAAAATGGGAAAATTTCTTCAATTTGGTAAGAAATTATAAAGAAAAATCTGTAGACGGAAAAACAAAATTTTTATTAGAACTATTGGACACTTGCACTTCAAAAGGCAAGTTTTCTTAAATTATTATGATTTTATAATAATGTTAAAATCATTTTTTTAGACGGACAATTGGCATTGCAAGTGAAAGCCCTTATTCATTTGGTACCACCACGGGGTAGAATAACTGTTGAAAAAAAATCTATATGGAAATTTTCAATTCCAGAAGTTGAAAATTCAATATTCTTACATGCAACGGTAATTATATAATTAACCTTTTTAATAATTTGGTACATCGGCTCTGTTTTCTATCGTCAATGTAATTAACATTTTATTTTATTTATAGAATGCATCCGAAATTGAAATTCAGATTAACAAACAAAAAGAGCTGGTAGCTGCACGAAAGCAAACTCTACAACCGTTCCTTATTGTGGAAGGACCAATAACCGATCCGACGAACTTCTATGTGCACATTGATACCATCAGGTATCAATTTAAAAGTTTATCTAAAGCGTTCGACACGCTATTTAAAATTTTTCAAGTCCTTCATGCAAAATATCCTTGCCAGGGAGAATATATATGGACTATTATCCAAAAGTGTGTCTACCAAATAGACACATCATTTGATAATAGTCCTCCATATGTAGCGGATTTATTAAATTTTGTGAAAAAAAATTTAAAGTGAACAAACAGATGTTGCATTTGCAGTACATTTGAGTATTTTTACGTAATTTTTATAATAATTTAAACTAAAAATGAATTGCAATTCGTGTGGCAAATTATTTATTAATTTTAACAAATATATTTTTCATATTGAATACTTTCATAAAAACACAAATCAATTTTCATGTCCCTATTCTCAATGCAACAGAGTTTATAGTCAGAAACATAACTTAAAATCCCACATTTCTGCTAAACATAAAATTGCACCTAATATATGTTCTAAAAATTTAAATGAGGTAGTAGTACATTTAACTGAAAAAAAATCCAACGAAGATATAACAAAAAAAAATAATTTAGAAGAACCCAAACCTGATACAATTGAATCTAATAACTTTTGTGAGAAAAGAATTGATGATAGTTTCATAAATCAATTAAAAAAAACTTACGAGGCATCCATAAAAATTTTTCTTTCTTCTCTTTATAGCAAAATGAATCTTACAAAAGCAATTATTCAAATCATTATTGAATTAGTTGAACAGTTTCTCTTATCTGGAGTATTTGATATTTTAAAAACATTCATAAATGAGCTTTGTAAAACAGAAAACAAACTTTGTTCCAATAAGAGAGATGATTTACTATTTATTTTTAATATTTTAGAGAATCCATTTTTAAATTTAAATACCGAATATAAAAGATCCAAATATTTAGAAAATTTAGATACTTTTATTAAACCTAAAGAACATAAACTGGGCGTCGCATCTACTCCACAAAGAAAGCATGGTAATGTAGCTTTGGTACTTAAAAATAAATGTGTCTATTATGCCCCTATAATAATTACATTGATTAAATTTCTGGAATTACCTGGAGTTTTTGACGTAATTCATAATTACCAGAAAAAATGCCAGAAAATGTATAATGAAGCGAAAATCATGAACAATATTGTCAATGGATCTTTGTCAAAAATAACTCAAGATTCTAGTGACTGTGATCAGTTTCAGTTTCCATTAATTTTATACTTTGATGACTTTGAAACTGGAAATCCAATTGGTAGTACTAAGGGTACTTATAAAATGGGTGTCATTTACTTTACAATAGGTAATATTCCACCTGAGTACGCTACCAGACTAGAAAATATATTTTTAGCATTAATTTTTAATACAGCAGATAGAATTGAATATGGAAACAAAACGGTTTTTAGTATGTTAATTAAAGATTTAAAAAAACTTGAAATTGAGGGAGTTAACATAAAAACCCCTCACGGAAATAAAACAGTTCTGTTTTCTGTATTAGCAATAACAGGGGATAACCTCGGTTTACATTCAATATTAGGCTTCACTGAAAGTTTTAACGCTAACTACTATTGCAGATTTTGTAATTTATCTAAAAATGAAATGAATACTTTGACTAATGAACGAAAAGAAAATATTAGAGTTAGAGCGAACTACGAATTAGATTTGTTAAATGGGTTAGGTGTTAAAGAAGAATGTGCTTTCAATGAGTTAAAGTATTTTCATGTTTACGATAATATAATTTGTGATATAATGCACGATTTATTCGAAGGAGTTCACAGATATGACATGGCTGTCATTATAAATTCATTAATTATTCAAAGAAAATTTAGTCTAGATACTTTGAATATGAAAATTAGGTATTTTAAATATGAAAATCATGAAAAAAATATTCCTCCTCTTGTAAGTAAGGATCATTTAAAAAAAAAATGCATTATTTTTTCAGCTGCAGAAATGCACTGTTTAGTCAGAAATTTTAGATATATTATAGGTGATTTAGTACCTGAAGATAATGTTGCTTGGAAATTATATTTAATATTATATGAAATAACCAATTATTTAACCCGATCGTCAATACTTGAAAATGAATTAAACGTTCTAAATTCCTTAATCGCTGAACATCATCAAATTTATATGGCACTTTCAAATGAACCACTTAAACCAAAATTTCATTTTCTTTTACATTACGTTCGAATCATAAAAAAAATTGGCCCTCCAGTACATCTGTCTGGAATGCGGTTTGAGGCCAAACATAAAGAATTCAAATCAACTGCACGTATTATATCTTGTAAAAAAAATCTGCCATATTCTCTTTGTTATAGAATGCAGCTAAAATGTGCTTACCGATTTCAATCAAAAATTGGACTTCAAGATATCGTTGATTTCGGTCCATCATTTGATATTATGAAAGATGATGCCATAGTCTCATTTGATAGTGAACTGTTTGATACTTTTTATGGAGTCTCTTGGTATGAATGTAATGGAGTTAAGTATAATTCTAACAGTTGTTTGTTTTATGACAAAAAAGAAGAAGTGCCAAATTTCTGCCTTGTTCAAAATATATTTGTTAACAAAATAAATAATAAAAAAATTGTATTTTTTTGTAAACTTTTATCTACTGTTTATTACAACGATCATTTTAAAGCATTTGAAATAATAGAAACCGATAATTACAAATGTTTTACGAAAGACAGCATACTTACACAAACTCCGACAATTGTTCATACTTTATCTTCTGGTAAGAAATACGTTTCTGTTTAATGTCACACGAATTGCATTTCTACGAGAAATTATTGATGTACCTACATATATCTACATACATACATATCAGGTATATCGAATGTATGTATTTATTACTGTACATGATTTTAAAATACGGAAATAATTTAGTTATAATATGATACCTAATGTGAGTACCTTAGAGCTTCTGAAGCATTTTTCAAACGAAACTATTCGATGATATATTTTTTTATATTTTTCAGCTTATATGCAATTTAATTTAATGTGATACTATTTTTAATAACGTTAAAACATTTTTTCGGGTTATGTAGAAAGAATTTTTGCGCCAGCAGAAGTGATATATTCCGTCGAATTGACTTCACTCTGCCATTTAATTTACCGAAAAAATAACAATATTTTATGTACTGGTGATAAAATTCTAGATAAAAACCTAATATAGATATTTGACGTACTGACGTAATAATGTTTTTGTTCGTTTTTTTTTGTTAATTCTTTTTGTTCATGTTCTTTGATGTTCTTTGATGTTCTTGTTTGAATAAAGTATTTTTATTTTAATCTTATTTTTACATATACATACATATCTACCTAAATACCTGTCTGTATGTAACCTACCTGTTTCTTTATGTATTATCATTTAACATAAATTAGTCAGTTATTTAATTTTTTAACTGTAATGTGTATAGTTACATATAACTAGATGCACTTGCATATTATGAAGCAAGACATCATATCTTATTTCATAATACGCAATACATCGAGTTCTGTAACTATACACATTACAGTTCCGTTTTCAGTTTGAACGAAGGTATTATTTTAATCCAAAAATAACATATTCTCTAGTATGAGTATTTTATATACTTACAACAAGAAATTATTCATTTTTAATTAAAACACTGATTGATTTAATTCAAGCTTGCGATAAAATAGGTTCAAATCAGTAGTGAGCTCAAAAATAATAAGATAATACTTTAAGTAAAGGAAACCAAATGCTTCAATTAAGCATAACGATTCTAAAATCAAGAAATGAACCCATTTTCAATAAAAAAATGATTGATTTAATTTAAGAAATACTATACATTGATTCAAACAAAGATTATACTCAACAGTAATATGATAATTTTTTGAAAAGACTATCAGATTCTTGCATTAAGCATGTCGATTTCTCTTTTTGAGAAAATGATTTGTTTAACTAACAAAACATTTACTTATTTGAATATTCAAATACCCTAATTTTCTTGAAATAAGAATGTTAGTTTTTCTTAAATTAAGAGTTTCTCAGTCTATGATCAAAACAATGATCATTTTTTTATTAAATAATTCAAATTCTTAATTGAAATACATGATTTGTTTCATTATATGGGAACAAATCATTTATTTGGTTTAAATATGACTGCATTAATTCAAATAAACATTTTTATGTGTGTAGAATAGTATTACTAAGTATTTGAAAGATGTCGAGCGTCTTTTTACAAGACTATATATAGATGACTGATGATTATCTGTCCATCATTTTTTTCGAAATGTAATCCCATAAATCTTTTTTTTGTGTTGATTATGAATAATAGATCGCCATCATTTATTTCAAGGCATCCAAAGACCGGAGTGCATAGAATATTTCAATATTATTAGCCCGGAATAAGGACATTCCATTTTTCTTCGGCTTAATTTTAAAATCGATAGAACGTTTCGTTTACCACAACATTTTTCACTGTTAAATTGCAGTGAATGCGTTGGAACCGCCGAATTTATTTTTAATTTTCTACCTCGAATTACACGGGGTTGCTGCGATCAGTTACCGTTGTTTTCGAACAATGCAAAAATAAGATTCCCAAACACAATATGGCGAGATAACATTGTTGAAACAATTCGGGACTCTTTCTGACGCGAGAGGACCAATTCAGAAATGGAAATTCGGAAATTTCGTTTGTCTTTTGTTATCGGATAATGGAATTTGTGAAATTTTGTTAATTGAAAATTAAGACGCCGAACAAAGGAATTTTTAATCAACATCTTTTCGGTTTCCACCAGAATAACTAACGCCCGCTCTGGTTAGATAAACTGCCCGGAATCGAAATCATTACGGGACCAACTATCAGGCGGGCGTGTTCGATTAATTATTCACGATAAATAATTTAATTAAAACATTCCAAATATCGCGAGCAGAATTCGAAATGTAGGTAAATACCCTATTGGAAATTTCCCATATTTGCATTACACTAATATTTCTGTTACGTACCTTCAACAACTCTTTGAACTCCATGCTATTAGACTTTGTAATAAATACGTTCGAATTACAAGGTACTTAAAATCTTCTCAAAGAGCACCTAGTTCGTATTGTTGCGTATTATTTATCTGGATCCGGTTCGTTTTGTCGAGAATCTCGACCACTGTAAAGAGCGTTTCGAGCATGCATTGAAGCTTTAATCCAGCAGTCGGACTAACTACATGTTTCGAAGCTGCGCTTCGCGGCTAAAACTATCTAATAAGCGATCGCAGCTATATGAAAAACATTTGTAATTGGAGCACCTTTATTCGGCGCCCGCAGGAGCGGAAATTCGTTTCCTGCTTGACGGACTAGTCGCGAAAGGAATTCATCAAACGGAGTACTATTAAGAACGCCCGAAAACATCTGTTTTCCGCAGAACGAGGTCCATAAAAGGCCACTGGAGCGCAAAAACTGATATCTCAATTCTCAACGTCCGGTCAGTAGCGCTGGCCTGGAACGTTTCAATTAAGTCATAGTGATTTCTTATCCCGTAATTTCGGATATGGCCTAAAATTATTGCCCTTTCGCTTCACCGTAAGAATTCAATTGGGACTATTACTTGCAGACCTAATTCCACTTAATGATAGAAAAATTTCCGAAAAATTTACTCTCCCTCGGGAATGCCATTAAGCGTACCGCACGAACTGTAAGGAGCGATTCATCAACTAATACATCGTGAATTAATACGTTACGTAGCTTTACTTCTAAATGATCATCCTCGGCTTCTTCGTTTGAACGGTAAAAATTCGGACGTGACGTTCTCGCTACATTAAATGACATTTCCCCGGTAAAAAAAAGTTTCCGGCTGGAAATTAACGCTCTCGCGCTTGCTGTTAAAGGTAGGGAGAACATGAAAAAAACGCTAAAGTCGGCACGTAACACTAAAAGTGAAGGGTACGATGACAGGAGAGTAACAAGGGCTTAACAAAATGCTTTAGAGCAAACGCAGTGCTGGGTTGTAATTAGAAGTCGGTCTTAATGAACGTGTGTAGCCGTAAGAGATTTGGATAATTAACAGTTTGGGCTTCGGGTGCAAACGAATCAGTGGCTTGGCAGAAATGAACAAATATGAGGAAACTTCCAGAATCTGGATTGGAAGTATTAAGCACGATTTAGGGTAATTTTCTTTATGGGTAATCGAAAGATGGGGGGATTAAAAGAGAAATTAACTTCGCCAATTAATTACCGATCAGAAATAGGAAAAAAAAAACAGCAAAAAGGAAGAAGAATTATCGGTAAAGTAATTACTCTGTTGTCCTGTATTTTAACGGAGCTGGAACATTCGAAAGGAATATCGATTAGTTAATTAATTAATGATAGTAGTGATCACTTAAGACAATACTCCATTTAATTTGGAATCCAAGCGTTAGTTTAGTACGAACAGAACGATGACGTCTAAATCTAATTACATCTGCATGGGTAATTTATATTTTTATCGCGTTCCTCTTTAACATAATTGAATATAGAACGGTTTTCTGTATCGGCTGATAGCTCTGCTAAAATATTAATTACCAATAAAAATTGTTCCTAATTCCATAATATCCGATTACGGATTATCGAAAGCCTCCCTCACCCCTCTCGAAATCAAACAACTTTATTCCATTCGTTCTGTTTAACTTGATGAAGAGCCGTTCAATTCTATTTATATTCGGTATTTAGATTGTATATGAGATTTATCAAATACTCCACATCCCACCCCATGTGCCGCTTTCGCTCGTCAATTTTTTTCCTTTTTGTTTGAATAAGAATCCATTTTTCAATATTCCCGTACATTGTTCGTCAGCTAAATTGGGTTAGATTATGCTGTATGCGGGAATAATATGTTTGTCGTGTACAAAGAGAAAGAGATCGGATTAATATGTACACACAATGCATCGAATAATGCTGCGAAATACACGATGTTCCCTTGTGCCTTGTTAATATTTCAGGATGTGTTTCTTACTGGCATACTATTGTAGAATATGAAATTTTTGATGTTAAAGTGAATATACAAGTAAGTATTTAAATTTAAAAATGGATGTGAATATAGAATAAAATATAAATTCTGTATTATTTATTTTAAATGTTTGATTATGTTGAGATATAGGGTAAAACGTGCATGCACATGCAAAGTAGCAGATTTGCCAAAAACGTTTAAATAAGCGTAGATAGCCACAATTTTAAACTCGTGCCCAAGTGTAACATATTTAATTTCGAAGTTGTCGACGAACTTTTTCAATTACACCAACATTTTGTGTGGATCGAATTCTTCGAGTTCGGTTCCAGTTAAAAAACGCTGGATTTTCCGAAAACGTTCAATTTCCTCCGAGCTAAAAATCATAATAGTGCAATAAAACACCAAGCTTTATTGCAACAACTAAGCTTGTTTAAAAATTCGCGTAGTTGTTTGTAAATTGCGTTATTTTCAGTACATTAAAACGTGTAATTTTGAAAAATAACTTCGAACACGAAACGCGAAATATATGAAGCAATAATCGAGATTAATGTAAAGTTAAACAATTTAACCATTTATTACGAGCAATAATTAGCGCATAACACATTACACTCGGGCAAAAAGGCGGCTGAAAGCAACGAAAAGAAATTGTTCCGTTCGGAGAGGATTCCTTACCGGCGCGCTAAGACAAGGGCACGTACAATGATGGATGGATCGAATGCTCTCGCGCGACACCGACCTGACGATCTTCAAGTTCGAGGCCAGCGTCTGCGAGGTCCTGCGTTCAAGGATCCCTCTAGGTGACGGCGATACATAGGGCGCTAATTGGAAGGCGTTCGATGAACTCCTATTCCTCGTCGGTACGTTTGACGAGAGGTTCTGTTTGCATCCTTTCACGTCCAATCTGAAACAACGCAAATCAAACTCACTGCAATTGCGATTCACCGAGAACGGTCAGGTTTTTTTTATCGGGACACGTCGTTAAAAATAAAGCAACGAATGCAGTTAAGAAAGAACGAGGCTGAGAATCCCGCCACGAAGTGCTGCGCACCACGCCGAAGTTTGCAAACTAGTCTAAATACTTAAATGATTGATATTAGTGAAATTGAGGAAAGGGGTTGACGGAGTTCATAAACTAATTTATCAATTAGCTCCCCAAATGGATATTCGATGTTCAATCGACCGTAACTCATTAATTAACGTTCGAGCTTGGAATCAACACCACCGTAACGTAACATAATAATTTGTTATTCTTTCCTCGTTATCCGTTATAAACAGAACTATTTCGTGTATTATTACATGGCATTTAAATAGGCAAAATGTAACGATTTCAAAAATAAAAAAAGCGTGAATGTTAACTAAGCAACAATCGCATTGTATTCGAATATCAATCCAACTAGAACACGCTTAAATGGTTAGAATTTATACTGGATTTGCCGCAATTTTTACAGCACAAGTCGGGATCCAAATCCTACTAATCCAACAGAGGTTTGGAATATGTCTGCGGAGCCGTTCGATATTGTCACAAAAAGTTTTTATGGCTCGAAAAAAGATTATTCGACGTGTTTTATTTAGGTACGAAACACAAACGAGATCGTTCATGCCGACACAACCGCTCGAAAAACTGAATACATTAGCTTGTCCGGCGCTCTGCATATTATTACGATGTTCATAAAAGCTCCTAGTAAATAGGATTCTTATGTAATATTCGCCCGGACGATTTGTATGTGATATGCCGTAAATAACGGGATTAAAAACCGTCAATGAAAAGTGGATTTACCGACATAATTCACTGTTTTCGGCGGGGTGGTTTTAATGCGCGACGAGCTTGCCGACAGTATGAAATACGAGACATTTTCAGAAATTGAAAATCGATACATTTAACTATCAGCGTTCCTCAATGTCGCAAACGGGTCTATTTTTTTATATATATAGCGCTATAGTATGTGTGTCAATTATGGCCTATTAGAAATATTTGGGAATGGTGTGATCAATCAATACAGACCTGCAATGCAATTCAATATCAGGCACTGATCTGGTACTGTTCTCTTCCAGGCACAGCGAGCCGTCCTCCTCGCTGTCGGAGAACACGGACAGTTGAGGATGGTGCGACGAGACCAGAAACGTCGTGCACTCCTGCCGCATCAGCACCGGCTTCGAGCAATTCGCCGGCGAAGAGGCGCTCGTCAGCGACGGCTGGCCCAAGAGTAGGCTCGCCGTCTCATCTTGGCTACTCATGCTTGAACCCCGCTGGCCCTAGAGGGCTGTCATTTCTGCGAACAATTATCTTTAATTACTGCAACGAAAGTTCGGTGGAATTTCAAATCGCGCCGAGTCGCAACTGCTTAAAGTTTGCAGAAAGTAACAAAAATGTAGCAGAATACTTATTATCTATAGTACAGAACATTTCAATTTGTACACTCTAAAGTTGTTCAATTAATCGAAGCAAAGCAATAATTAATGATCAACATCTATTAAAAATTTGAGGGATCTCGTAGGAGAAGAAATTGGAGTAAATAAGATGTCGAATGAAATTGAGCGGTATTACTTTAAACGCGAGTTTCCGTGTTGGCGTTCGTAAACGTTTGTTAATTTATAAAACTAATCAACGGAATGGTCGACGGCACTTTAGCTTAAACCGTCGATTCTTTTTATTGTTAAGTTTATTAAGGTAGAGGGAAATGTTAACTGCACTTCGATAATATCGGACTCGGTGAACTTTCCGGTAAATCGCTGCATGTTTTGTGGCTTGTGAACTTCGAAACGAATTTATTTATGTAAGAACAAGTTTTAAAACGTGAATCAAACAAAAAGTATAAGTCCTTATGTTTAGAGAAAGTTTAATGCTGTCAATAAAACGGAAATTGAAATTGCCTCTATAACATTTTATATCAAATTGACTTGGAAATTTATGGTTATGTGAAATACTCGTACTTTCTGAAAAAAATAACCGGATTTTTTATTGAAAATGACGAAAATACCTTGAAAAATTGTTTGGTAAATGAACTTTTTTATTGTGCATTAAAAATTTCCCCTTTCAGGCTTTTATTTCATACTTTAACACCACGCACCCCTCACATTAAAATTGCAGTTAACCCAGCAAAAACGACAATCGAACAAACAACAATTTACCTGCAATTTAGTGTAATCATTACCCAGTATTGAAACTATGTGTAATAAATTGATTCCAAATTAAAGCAAACATTAAGAAGATATTATAATAATTACAACGGTCGGGATAGTTATAAAACAACTAGGTCATAACCATTCTAATATTATATCTTGCTTTTATTTGAAAGCTTTCAATTTAATTGAAAATATTGTAACATCATTTCCCTATTGGGAAGTTTTTATACACGTAATGTATCTAAATATGATTTTTGAATAATAGCATTTTTGTGTTATTCGTTAGAATTGGAAATTGTTTCGATTGAAATTTTAATCGAATATTTAGAGAAATTTGTGCGCTTTTTTTGTTTATCGCAGGGGTTATTAAATTATTCGGGACGAAAGTCGTTACAAATTCTCATTGTTTAGTTTCGATATAATAAGAAAATTTATGCAGATATTCAAATTTATAGCTCCGCAAGCGATTTCGCAAAACGTTCGATTTAAGTTTTAATCAAATTTTACGACAAAACTCGAAACGGAAATAATTACAGCGGTTCAATTTTCTCGTCGTTTATAATTCTAATACTAAATACTAGGGGAGTATATTTGGGCATTTCGCTAAATGACAAAGGTCAAATTATTTCTCGCTAGGCGCACTTAATCCGACCTTTCCTAAAACACTTGCCATTACTAAATTTATTTAATTGAATATTTCGAATTGTATAGGTGAAATTATTTTTTATTCCGTTGTTTTATAGGTACCTGAAAAATCCGATTCTATTCAAATTTTTCGTTTTGTTTGTTCAAAATGCAAATTTCATCCATTAGCTTTATATCGAATTGCGTCAATTTCGTACACAATTTATCATTTATTTTTCGAATTCCAACTTCACTTTTGATTGCTCGCATTGTCAGTTAATCCCCGATATGAACGAATATATTTCGATGATTTAAGTTCCGAGGCTGCGGGAATTAACACGTCTACTGCCGCACAGCGTAGAAGCATCTCCTAATTAATTCGGTGGCACGTTTACGAATAACAACGGATCAAAACTTTACATTCAACTTCATTTGTGTACGTCAAAACGACACATCCAGGCTTCACATGTACCGTAAACTCGGGAAGTAAGGACTCGGAATAGATTAACCTCCACCAGAGGATTTTAATCCTTTTCTAATTATAGGAAGCGGATATTCGAGTCCAATTAGCCCTAAAGAAAGTTACAACTGTTCAAAGTAGGTATTCTAAATTTAATTACACCTACCATAGTAGTAGTAGATTCTGACATGTTTAAACGAAATTTAGTTATAATGCAAGTAACTAATTTCTAAAATAAAGTGATGATATTTATTTTGTGTAGCCAGGATGTTTGCTGCAATATTTCGATTTGTACACTGTAGGGTTACTTAATTAATCGAAGCATGGCAGTAATTAATGATAAATCGATAACTAGAGTTGATAAAAATTTTGTATCATACGAAGAAAAGCTGATGATTTTTTTAGGTTCGACGTAAACAGCAAATGATATCAAAGGAACCTTTGAAAATGAGGCATGATTTTTTTATAAGGTATATTTCGTTTCAGTGTGTCCTGGAAATCAATAAAACCACCGGCAATGTAGTATTTACACTTTACATGTTTATGTATGCGCTCATACTCATACATATGTACGTACAAAAAAAACGTAGTTATGGTTTACACTCATGTAAGTTTTTATCACCTTGATCTCATTACGGAAATGTTCGTACAGGGTGGCATCGAAACCACTTACACTGAAACATATTGAAACTTGTTGAATAAGAATTCTATAGTACAGCTATTGTATTACCATTTTATTTTCACTATTTCAATTATGTTGATATCCCCAGGCATTCGCCTTGCTCCGTCCAATTACGGGCAATATCTACTGGGGACATCGACGTTTACTCCACAACGGTAGACAAATTAACCCCGATTTACTCTCGATAGGAGAAGAAAAAAAAACAATCACGAGCGAAATTCGTTTTGCGTGTTGCATTTTCGCTGCATTAGGATTGAGCAAAAAGGAAAAGACTCTGCCTTTTTCCATTATTCAGTGCATTGATCCAATTCCTTTTTTAGAATCCAAGTGTTCCTAATGGAAAATCATGTAATACTCTCGCGTGCCAAACCGCCTGATAAAGAACATAATTAGGGAAAATAATAATCCGAGATGGATACGTATAAAACGTTCTAAACGGCTCTAACTAACGGATAGAAATTTGATTGCGATTGAGATAAGAGATTAACCTTTTTGTTAACAAACTTTCAAACGTTGTTCGACGTGTAGGTTCAGCACCCTGTAATCGAGACCTGTATTGATATAATTATTTCTAACGGGGTAAAATAATACGAAAGTGTTTTACGTCCGTTGCCTCGCCAAATCTGAACTGGAGCGGATTAAATTCTTAAGGAAAATAATTAGAGTAAACCGGTGGCGTTACGAGCAGGGCAGGAATAAAATTTATCGTCCTCTGCTGACGTTTAAATTCGCTTTTTGACAATTCTTGAAGCAATTTCTTAAACCATTAATTTCCTAAGTTATTATCAAATATTCCAGGAGTATGTCGAATAAATTCTGTCCGTGCAGCTGATTTCCAACCTTATTTAAGACTGCCAAAATCCGGATTTAATATCAGCGAAATATTTACCTAAAGTAAATTAAATTTTAAATTTCCAGATTAAGCCTTGTACAAGCTTTTACCGGCTTCCCTTGCATACCTGCCTAGAGATCGCGTTCCCTTTTTTTCGGCCCAAAATTAATAACATTAATTAAAACATTCCGCTACTCAAATATTTATCGATCTTGTAACTAAGCAAATACTCCCACGCCGAATAATGTTTTTGAGAAAATAAATGGTTCCACAAAAATCACCGTCGCTTGATGGATGTTTAATTAAACTAACAAAGATTTGAGCATCTTTCGAACGCATTTTTATGCTAATTTTATTCGCTCTAATAATTCGGAGAATGCGTGTCATCGAATTTCCTTTTCCTCTATTATTAGTTTTATCCGAACGCTCCTTTCCTCTATGTAGACAAAAACATTAACTTAATTAAAAAGACATTTCGCTCAAAAATCGTGTGAAAATTCGAAGAGACACTCTAATAAATAGTTAAGTCCGAGAGAAGAATTTTTTGAAAGATTCATTAGAATAATTAAATCTGCAACTCTCGGTTGGAAATATTTAATGATACCTGCACATGTTCATTATACAGTAATTCGGGCTACGTCTCGTGTGTGAGTGAGCCTTGCATATTAAAACCGATGCATTCCATTGCACGCGAAAAGGATGGCGTGCGCCCGTTTGCAATCCGAAGTTAGCTACAATGGAGGTATTATTTCCCACGTGTCCCGGATTCTGCTTCTGCAATTTTATTTCTAATCATGCCGGCGAACGGAGGAGAGCTCCGCGCGCTCCGGCGACTGCAGGAATAAAAGTTAGATTATCATAAATCACTAATGAACTCCTTCGAGCGGGAGATACGCGAAAAAACCGACGGGTTTCCGAATTATGAAAGTTCGGGTCGTAAATCAGCGATTTGAAATGACATAAACGTGACCGTTTCATACTCGATGCTTCCCAACTATAAACTCTCGGGATAAGGCGCTATATTATTTCATTCGGCAGTAAAATTTCATCGCAATCGATACATACATATGTTGCAAACCGAACAATTTATCTTCCTAAACAATTATACTCCCTTTTGAAACACCCTGTTTGTCTAAAAAAACTTGGGACACACTGTTTGAATCATTCGCATATTAAATCCTTTACCTGCGGGAATCCAGCCTAAAAAATGCTATAGTAAAATGATTAATACCAGTCTTCACTGCAAACTCATTTAGTAATGTGCTTATGCCGCTTTTTCCCGCTTATAAATAGACTCATTAATTTCCTTCTTGCGAGGCGCAAAAATAATTTCTACTTAGGAAAAAATATACGTGTATTTGGGCGAGGACTTCGGGGATCATTAAAACAATTCGAACGGAGAGTTTGAAGAACTTGGAAAGGGCCGCTTTTGTTCCTTCCGCAGTCCGAGATTGGGAAATTCCTTCGAAACGACGGCTCGGTCCCCCTTTCGCCGGAATCCGCGAGGACTTCCGATCAATCTTTAATGCATTCGCAAAAGTACGATCGA